AGTGCGCAAATTCCATTTACATAGGATCAAATGAAAATTGGATTATATTAAGAATTATACTGATAAAATTATTGGAAAAATTTTATTGAACTTCTATAGATAAAGTTAAATACAAAATTTGTAATTATATATATTCCCGTTTGATACGAACCTTTGGCTCTTTTCGTTCATAGAACTAAACTTACTGACACTGAAGTTGTTGTTGGAAATAAACACCCCTATTTGAGTGATAAAGATTTCTCAACTTTATTGGATCTTAAGTCTACACGCCTGATCCTATACGTGAGTCTTCTTTTCTGCTTACTCGCCATAAGACCGTAGATACTACGGGCAACTTATTAGAGATGTTTATGATTTCGGGCTACTTCGGGCGACCCGAGCGGTTTACCCGGTCAGCGGATTCCAATTTTTGGCGGGAACTATAGTAAAGACTGTGCTCCTGGTTGATCGGTTGTTCGCAAGAGAAAAATGGCGTTTGCAGAAGCGATTTCGAATGAGATCGATGACTTTACGAGAGACGAACCTGCTCCGTTTGATGACGATGATCCTTTTGATCTTCCACCTCCTTTACCACCGCTTTCTCCTCATCGCGACGAAGACAGAATGAACCAAAATGGCGACGCTTTAGTAGGAGATCAGCCGGATGAAGGCGAAGGAGGCAAGAAAGAGTCAAACACGAAGCGGAAAATAAAGAGATCGCCGAGACCGAAGCTAGACGAAATCAGGTGAGAAAAAAAAAAAACGCTAACTATGAACACATAAAGTAGATTGACTCGCCATCGAGTTCTTTACAATTCTGTTGATAGATCAACTTACCGCAAAATCGTAATAGGCTCGGTTCGAATTCTCAATACGGGCTCTCAGATTACTTATATTCGATGCACGCTCTTGCAAAAAGACTCAGCATATTTCTTTGATATCTGAACTATTTTTCTATTATCTTAGAATGAAAATACGGTACGCCGATGATTAATTGGATTTAGGGCAATATGAAGAAGCGACATGTAAAGCAAAATATGAAAGAGCTGATTTTATATGATGCATAATTGTGATTTTCATTGTAGAGCTCATTAAAATCTTCTAAGTAACCTTGGCCAGAGGAAACAAAACATTTCAGCCTTTGTGGTTGTCACTTTGGTTTTTTATAGTAGCCTTACAAATATGAATTTGTTTTGTAGGCTGTGCGGTGACCGTGGTCTTCCAGCTCTAACCCACCTTTGTGATGGAATCAAGTTCAAAGGGAAAGGTCATGAGGTACACATGACATGTGAAATTATGATCTGACAAGAGTGTTGAAGCAATGAATACAGAAGTTGGTTGATACCTCATGGGAGGGTCACAATGGGGTTAACCATTAGCTGTAAAATGGCCAAAAATCTCGTCATTAGGCATGAAAATTGACCATTATTAATTGTTAGTCACAACAGAAGTTAAGTGTAAAAATTTTTTCGTTTCTAAAATGTATCATTTTGAGTTAGCCCTTAGCTGTAAAATGACCAAAATTTTAATTGTTAGCCGTAAAAGCTATCGCCCCATCGAGACCCTCTTACAAGGACTCATTTTTTTTCTTTGTTCCATGCTTGTCATGAGATGAATATCAATTTTCTTTAAGAAAAAAATAGTCACTATAAATTACAAAGTGGGAGATGCGTCAGCCTAATGGTTGGTGCATTGAACTTGGGGTCAAGAGGTCTTGGTGCAAGACCTTGTGGGGTCATTGTGTTGTGTTCTTAGGCAAAACACTTTACTTCCAAAGTGCATCTCTCCACCCAGGGGGTTAGTGCACTGGACACTTGTAGTGTTTCACGGTCTGTGAAACATTTGGATTCAACCAAATTACACGCACGCAAAACAGATTCAACTCGACACTCGACCATGTGCTTTTTTAATTCCCCTAATTCCTTTTGGCCGTACTTAATTACATCATAGATACTACAACACTGGGTAGAGAGGTGTCGTGTTCTTGAGCAAAACACTTCACTCTCACAGTGCCACTCTCCGGCCAGGAGTACAAATGGGTACAGTTGAACCTCAATTATTCAGACTTGTCAGGACCTTGGTAAATAGTCCGGACAATCGAGAGTCCGGATAATCGAAAATATTTGCTTCATGCCAAGGAAACTGGGATAAATTCCAGTTGGATGAGCCACTAGGCTTGAGTACAGCCTTAACCTTTCACCTATAAACTATAATCAAGTTTATTTCAGTCAAATTAGAGCTCTTGGTTCTTTCAGGCCTCAGATCTGAAGCTACTGTTACAGCGTTATGAATACTGGGCACATCGCTTGTTCCCAAAGTTTCCTTTTGCAGATGTTGTAGATCAAGTGGAAAAGTTGGGCAGTAAAAAGCTAGTTCAAGTAAGAAATTCTAGATATAATTTCATCTTCTAGGATCTAAGAAAAGGTTCATCTCTACGCTGTCTCTAATTGTAATCACCTTTGAAATGTGAACAAGAGGTCACAGGCCAGAGTTTGTGCCTGTACTCAACCTTTATTAGTTGGAGAGAGCAGCCCACCCCCGAAGCAAGCTACCCTTCCTCTCACCAAGGAATGGGTAGGGGAGCCATACTTATTGGTTAGTCTATCTTTCAAATTGAACCAGGGATACCCATACAATAAAAATCAATCAGAGGGCAAAACTTATATGGTAGATTAAAATATTTTTAAATCCGGCTGTTAAAATGTCCAATACAAACTAATGTAATGGCAACATCCTTGTTGACTCAACACTGCTCTCTGTACAGTTCCTGTGGATCTGACAAGGAGACTCTGTTTAACAACAAAGAGTTTCTTCTTCTAGGTTACTGATTTACCTAAGGAACATGTTTTGTGTTTACAATTGTAGAACTGTATCAAGAGAGTTAGGCGAGGTGAAGATGACATGATTGATGATGGAGAAAAATCAGAAACAGAGCTTGATGCACAAGATGGTGGTATGAACATCATAACCTTGTACTAAATGCTTCCTTCAATAATCTTGTGCCAAAGAATTCACAAGTTTTGACTAAGAACTTGTACCCTGTTCTCCCTCAAGGCCATTTGTTAGTCTTGTCACACAACTTGTATTCTCCTGTGTTGCATGACAAAGCTGAAAATCCGTTGCAAAGGAGACAGACCTTGATTATTCTGGATGGCACAGAAATGATTCTAATTTTTGTCATGTTATAATTTGGAAATGGGAGATGGGATACTGGACTCCAGGTAAAGAGGTCTGGGGAGGTCTGGGTTGGAGACATGGCTGTATCACTGTATTGCGTTCTTACTCTTACACTTTAGCCTTACAGTGCCTCTCTCCACCCAGCAGTTAATGGGTAACAGCGAATTGTTGAAATGCTGGAGAGTAACCTAGTGATGGACTCGGATCCCATCCAGGGAGGGAGGAGAAAAATCCTTGACGGGAGGGGGTGGGGTAGGATAGTGATACTCAGCCATGGAAACCAGGATATGCTAAGGCTGGATAGTCCACTTTACTTCAGTACAAACTTTACTACCTCCCTATTGTTTGGAAATTGAAATATATTTTTTTATCATTATTAGTATCCAGGGATGATAGAACACAGTCACAAGTTCCTGCTACTCCTGTTTCAAACATTGTATGTATAGAAGATCAATTTGCCACTTTTTATCTCTTCCACCATTTCTACTTATACACCTTAACATCAGTATGCATATTCTTATTATTGAATGATGTAAATTTCCCAAAAAGCATATGTTCCTTTATGGAGAACTACAACACCTCAATTTGACATTTTTTTTAATTTTCTAATAATTTCAGGTTCAACCATTTGGTGTACAAGCTGAGCCAAGAAATGGGATGGTAAGATAGGAAATTATTGTTTTTCATTATGACAGAAATTTTCCCGGAATATATTTTTTGTCCAAAGCACTTTCAGCTTAATGCAAACTTGTTACACCTTCCTTTCTAACAGGTCATTTTGACGCCTGAACAACAAGAACGAATCCGTCTTAATAGAGAGAGGGCATTGACAAAACGCAAAGCTGCTCAGGAGAATCAGATTGCACAAGAAAACACTCCAATAAGTGAGTATTATTCTTGAAGGGATTTCAAATCAAGTTATTTACTACCCTATCGCTCACGTCAAAAATTACTGAATGCTGATCGGCTAAAGCCTGTAAGGCCGAGACGGAGGTTACTTTTGTCTCAATCGCAGAAGTACTGTAATTATGGAAATCAAGGGGACGTAGTTACTTGGTTCTGATTGGCTGAACACATGTCAGCAGCGCGTTGGGTTCTCTCTTGAATTGGGTTTTGGCGGAAAAGAAAGACAGAAGTCAAAAAGAAATCAGAACAAAGCAAAAACAATTCCAAACCCCAAAAACAGACAAACAAACAAAGTAAGTCTAGGAACGCAGTATTTTCGGCGTACACTTCCTGTCAAGTCACAGTATACCATACTTTTTGGGAACATATCTGTGAAATTTTTAAAAACAGAACGTTGTGGTTCAAAAAAGTCCTGGCATCAAAAATTCGAACCAAAAAGCCATCCATATAATATTCCCTACCTACGCCCTGTCGTTTTTTTCCTGGCTTGTTTGTTTTTGACCGCGGGTAGAAAATATTTTCGTCGGCCTTTTTTTCGGGATATTTTTTAACGCGGACTTTTTAGTCAAAGAACAACCCGTAGAAATTTTAACCCACGTAATTTTAATCTCGAAGTTGACATATTTATCCCCTGATAGATGAACAGATAACCATCATCGAGGAACCTGCGAAGTCCATTGATGTTTTGGAAACTGTCAAAGACGTTGACAGTGGAGCAGGAAGTGTAGGAGTGGAGCACGATTCTTCGGTGCAGGAAAACGATGTGGAAATGTTTGATGATCATGTGGATATACCTGTAGATATTCCGTTACCTGATGGCGGAAACTCAGAATCAGCTGATGGCGCAGGAATGAGCATATCTATGGCTTGGGAGAACAAGAATATGAGAGAGGAAGACACTGAAATGGAAAATGCAGAAACAACAACGTACATTGAAAATAGTAATGATATTGCTCAAAATGGAGAAAACCTTCCCACAGTGCAAGACGTGGTTGTCAGTGAAATCACAAAAGAAAATGACTTGTCTATCTTTGCCAACAAAGGAAATGCAGATTCAGGCTCTACCTTCTGTGAAGACGAAATGCCTTCTTCTTCACGGGAGGGGGGTATCCAGCAAAAAGGGGCACAAGAAACATCAGAAACGGGGCCCTCAGAACAAGCTCCCACTGATGCGGAAGTGGAACCAATATGGTAAATTTAAATGTTCGGGATGTTCACAAACGAAAAGCTTCTATGAATTGTTCGTCTTAGGTTAAGAATTTCCTCTATATTTGTTTGGATAGGTTTACACGTACAACGTAAGCTCAATACCAAACAGCGGTCAAACGATTGCACATGTGCGAACGTTGTATGGCTAATTGGCGTGCTGTCAGAACCAAGTTTTCTTACTGGAATTATAATCAACCACATAAGCCAGTAAGTCACGTTGTTTTTTAAGGCATACGACGTTTCTGATAAAACTCAAAACAGAATGGTAAATCAACAAGATACCCTTACTTGAATAAGCTTTGTGTTCGGAAAGTCTCAAGTTTTTTTTTTTTTCCTATTTTTGTTTTCTTCTACTGATTTCTATGAAAGTTCTAATTTTATTTCGCTTATTTTGTGACAGCAGTCGTATTTTGTTTTCCTTTACAATATTTCGCGGGAAATTGGTGCGCAGCCGGCCAGGATTCGTTCCCTCGCGCATGCCCGCGACGTCTATGTTGCTCAAGACCAAGCAACATGCGCATTATTTAATCAGCAATGACCACTGGTGTCGTGTCACTTGTTTTTTTGTTGAAGTTAAGAATTAGAGCCTTACGACGAAAAAAAGCGAGGCACACCAACGCTACGACATTTCTCCACCTTAACCTACTAAAGCGAGTCGCCGCGGTTCAATTCATTTCTGCGGTTATTTTACGGGTTTAAATTATTTTGTAGGAATGATGTGCACCAGAAAGCTCCGCGTCACAATAAGCGAATTCTCACTGATTTAAGTGAGAGATTCCCATCCTGCTTGTGTTTGTGAACCATAGTGTTAGTGAGACCTTCGCATCGTCGCCATAGGGGAGGTATATTTTTGCTCATCTCAGATGCGGAGAAAATCTAAATTTTTGTAAAACCTTTGAGACCAACCGAGCTTCATTTCTGACAAGTGGGACAAGTTATATCATGATTCACGGTGGGGCGTTGGTCAGGGTCCATAATCGTTGTGCGTGTTAACTTCACCTTTTACACACCGACGTAGACATGATTTACTATCGTACTCAAAGGGAGAATTTATCTAACCAACGGAACCTTTAGTTTGCAATCATTTCTTTTACTTCTGTGACCTTAATGTTTAATTCAGTATGATATTACTGGGAGAAATGATATGCTGATCATTATTTGGGGTCAAAGAGTTAAGAGAGCAATTCCTACGCAAGTTGCCGTGTAGATTTAAGACACTTTTCATTCAAATCAAATCTTTATTATATACATGTACCGGAATTCTTGAATACTTTTGCACTCTTTTGCTTGATAATAATAACAAATATTTACTAGCCCATGGGAGGCATTTACAAAACACCATTGGTCAAGTATCCCCCAGTGAAAATTAAAATAAATACAAAACGAAACCCGTAACACCGGACCCAAATTTATGTCTTAATAAACAACGGTATAAAATTGCCACTAATTTCGTAATTGACGGCATATTAAAATGGTTAAAGAGTCCGTTACGAGGTTATCAGAGAAAGTTTAACGATGAGGAGAAGGATTGGTGGAGAAAACCGACAAAACCAAAAAATGCCGAAAGGTGACCTGAAAATTTAGTGCTATTTAACCAAACTCTAAGTTTTCCAGTGAGTCGTTGTCGGTTCGTTCACACCGTTGGTGGTAAATTTGTTAAAGATCAAAAATAACAGCACAGAATTTTAAGGTATTTTTGCTATGTATACAAACTGATATATTTTCCCTATGTTACAAACCCAAACCGTTAAATTTTGAAAAAAGAATTGCAACGCTGTGTCCACTTTCCCTTTCATTTTCTGGTGTAAAAGTAGTATTTCCTCATTTTGGCCCTGTAAAGTTGTTCACTGTAATGATCATTACGTCCAGCCTGGAGCTGTCACGCTACCAAAGCGACGTTGTCGTGACTACCAAAGACAAACGGCGAGAGCGAAATTTTATCAAAGGTGTTCCATTACTGGCTGAAATAACATTCAAATGATTGTTCTCTAAGATCGTGACTTAACATCGATCAAAATCTGGACATTCTAAGTTGTACTATGAAGGTCTTTGGAATAAATATCTTCCTGGGAAATAACCAATGTCAAACCAAAATGCAGGTTTTGTAACCTTGCTGACCATAATATATGTAGGGAGCCATAATTACTCATTTTTTCTACACCATTAGAACAATGCCTCACCCTTCCGCGCCCCACCCTACGTTCTTTGCACTGATGGTGTAGGATTCACTCTTACCAACACAAAAATTCATTGACTTAACCATTCGCATACAAGCTCACTGAACATAGCTTTGCATGACAATGGCAATTTCTCTACGGTTGACGAGATTTGTTCCAATGCTGTTAAAATAGATAAAGCACGATTAAATCAAGGTGACTCCCAAACACTCGAACCGCCAGCTGAAAACAGGTCAGAAAGTATAATTCAAGCAAAAACAAAATGATGGAAAACTTCGTTCATTAAAAAGAATTATTTTTCTCCCCATCTCACACAACAATGCTGTATCGTCCTTGGAAAATTTTGAGTTGTTGCGAGTAAAACTGAGAAGAACCTGAAGGGTAAAATTTTGAGCTAACAGAATTTTGGGCTCTACAAGTTTCGAGTTCTTAACTGTAAAATTGCGATGAATGTGTGCAACATTCAGGGAAAATCAATTTTGGTTCGGGTTAGCGCGAGATTCGAGTTATTAGGAGTCAACTGAGGTTTAGCTCTTTTAAGAGAGCTGAGCAATGCCCTTTAGTTTAGAATTAATCAAAGAAAGGATTTTTAATCTTCCAAAAGAAAACCGATTTCACAGAACACCAACAGTTACTCGGGCCCCATGGGGAGGGGGAGGGGAGGGGGTGCTCAGTTGAAGAAAAGTGTGCCAAACATCGTTTAAAACATTTGTGATAACCTTACTGAGAAAGTTTTATACTGTCAACATATTAGAAAAATTTGTAAAAGATGAATGACCTGCCGGGTATTATGTTAGCGATGTTCCTCCATGGAAGGTCCTTGTGGCATCCAATTTTGATCGCCGTACCAGGAACTTAAATCACGAAAGTCATTTCTGTAGTATCCGCGCTCTATAAACCACGTATCTTCTCCCTTCTGACGTTCGGCTTCACGTCCCTCTGCCCGCCGAGTATACCAAGGTACATTGTTCACCCTCTGAACAGCACGACCGTGCGCGCGATCGAAAAACCAGGATGGATCTAGTGGACCTTTGTAGGGCTTGCGCTTCGTATCACAGGGAAACCAAGACTCGTATTTATCAGTGCTTCGTTTGAAATCTCGATCTTCTGCTCGGCGCACATACCATGGTTCAGACCGCTGATGAGTGCGACCTTTGGCGCGCTCGAATAACCAAGTGGGAGGTGGAATGGTCTCAACTGTGTCGGGATCGACGGAATTGCACACTTTGTCTTGCATGTAAGTATTTCGCCTCTTCCTTCTTTTCTTTCCTTTGCTAGACCTAGTGCGATACACTTCGTCGGAGAACATCGGTCCTTGAGGGAATGACTTCTGAGAATTTTTTGGCAGATTGAATCTCTTTTCCAACCACTCTTCAAGTGACAACCCAATATCTTTTGGTGGAATTGGACCTTCGGATGGAGAAGTATCTCGGAAAACTTTCCTATGATTTGCCTCTTCGTACGAAAGATCGGGCGTCAATCGGCCATCTTCGGCAGCAATCGGACCTTGCGGTGACTTTACACTACGCTTTACAGTAATCCCATTCTTAACCTTCCACCACCGGTTATCACGTGGCCGTATCGGCTTTTCATCGGGTCGCTTCGGTTTCTTAAATGAACTCTTCGGATTTTTTCCTGCATTGTGAGTCGATTCTTCAGAAACTATAACGAAGGCCGTCCCCATGGTGTTGTCGGGATCGTCCGAAGTTTTCTCCGCGCGTTTTAGCTTATCATCCCCCTTAAGCAACATTCCAATAAGATCCATGTCGAACGAAAAGTTTGTAAAATCAGCAAGCGCTCTGTTCTCAGATAGCACTGCAATTTCTGACTTCCTGCCTTCTTTTGACAACTTGAGTTCTTTTTTATTTCCCTTCTTCGTGTTCGACAATATTTCTTTCGCCTGGATTCTTCCATTTTCCCAATCGCATCTTCCGGTCGATTTCTCTCTGCCTTTTGTTCTCTTAACCTTTTTTTCCTTGACCGAGTTTAGATCACGCAGTTTAAGTCCTTTTTCTTTTCTATCGACTTCTTCTCCAGAAGTTTTTTCTTCATAGCTGTCAGCATGAAAATAAGGCTTTATCAAACTCCACGGCCAATTGATTGCTTTTCCCTGCTGCTCAAGAGCCTGCTTGGGAACATCGCTCAACCACTTTCGAACATCTTCTAACCTCTTCCTAAAAGGCACTTTGCCATCATTCCACGACCATTGAGCCTGTTCTTCGTGTTGTTGTTCAAAGGCACTGCTATAAACATGGGACAGCCACTTTTGAATACCTTCTAACTGCATTTTAAAAGACCCCTCGCCATCGATCCGTTTTCTACCTTTCTTGGTATCTTTCGGACGTGATGCTTCTTTTTTCACTTTCTCAGCCCGTATCTTCCATTCACCTTTGGATGATTTACTCTTTTCATTTTCTCCATTTCTCTTCCGTTTCTCTTTATCATATTCAGCTTGCTCAGCGATTACGGAGTCAAATTCTCTTTGTCGCCTCCTTCTCTTTTTGTCCTTTTTCACTTTGTTCTTTGGTTTTCCGTTGGTCCGCTTTCCAACTCGTTTAATGTCTTTGTCTTTGACTTTTTTAATCCTTTCCTTACTTTGTACATTTTTCGTTTCCCTATATTCAAATATCTGTCCTACTCCTTCATGGGGCAACTCTCCGCTCTCTTCATCTTCCTCTTTCTTAGCCTGAATCCCAACTTCCTCTTGCGCACTTCGATCATTTTCTAAGATCTTTCTTAAATCTTGCCTTTTCGTTTTGTCGTCTACGGATTCATTTCTTGGCTCCTCGTCATCGTGGTTTTGACTCGCCATTGTATGGTGTGTCTTTTCTTTCTTTTTCCTCCGCCTTTCTTTATCGAACCTGGCTTGTTCTTCAATAACAGATTCGTATTCTCTCTTGTATTGTATCTCAGCTTTTCCCCGTTCTTTCTTTGCCTTTTCGTTTAGTTTCTCCTGTTCAGCCACTCGTCTTTCCTTTTCTTGTCTTTTTATGATACGGAGCTCTTTCAACCATTTTTTATATTCCTCTTTTGCCGCTTTCTTCAACGATTTCAGTTCTTCTTTCTGTTGTCTTAGCTTGTTCTTCTCTTCAGAAATTTTTTGTCTAAAGCGCTCCACTTCCTTCCTCTTCTCTGCACTAAGAGTTTTCTCTTTGAGCTTCAGTTTTTTCCTCTCTCTAGCCAACAGTCCTTTTACTTTCTCCTTCAGTTCCACTTTCTTTCTCTTCAACCTTCGCTTTTCCTTTTTCAATGTTACTAAAAAATTGTTCATTTCCGTCCTGTTCTTTCGATGGAGTTCTTTCTCGGAAGAAATCCTCTTCTTCTCCCGTTTCAGTGCCTTCCAAGAGCGTTGCAAGCTTATCTTCTCTTTCTCGAAACGACGCCTTTCACGCCGCAACTTTGACACCATGCGATCTGCCTCCGCAGCGCGCAACTTTGCCTCCCTTTCTTTCTTTTTCAACTCACGCCGGAGGATCCTCTGTTTGCGAATCTCTTGCCCACGAAGCTGCGTCAAATTTGTCAACTTCTGTTTCTCTTTGGTAAGGAAGTGTTTATCAGCCTGAATAGAAGTTCGTTTTCCCTTTCCTTTCTTCTTAAAGTATCTACTTCGTCTGTGAACTTTTCTTTTCATATCGGAAGATACTCCGCTTTTTTCCGTGTCAGGAGCTTCGTACGAATGAACAATTTGAAAACCAACATTTACCGTCGATTTTCCAGGTGTCTTTGTATCTTCTGTAGTTAGCATGCTAAGTGCTTCCTTAACGAAGGAATCGTCGTCGTTATCCCAATTTCCATCACTTGTACCGTCCACGTATGAAACGACTTGGAGGTCTTTTTGCTGCGAGGTGACTGAAGGGGAAAAGTCCATATTTGAAAAATAATCCGGGATTCCGTGGCTTAAAGAGAAAATTCCGTTAGGAAATAGTGGATTTTCAAAAGGAGCCCCTCCTTTGCGGAAATCTTTGCAAATTTCTTCTGAAGGGCGAACACCTTCGCGTCCTTTTCTTACTCCGTCTAACGACTGCGACTTCTCAGTTTTCTCGTGCTCAGATTTTTTAGCAGAAGTTGTCGGATCTCGGACGGATTTTTCGACTGTTCTATCCAAGAATCTCTCAATAAAAGAAGCAGAGTAGGACGTTACAGAGCGGTCCTCAGCGAGAACACTTAAATCCTTCCTTTCACTGGGATATGAGCACTTTGTTTGCTTTGTCTGACAACTAACATCCGTATCTTCCTTCAAATGCGAATCAATTGTCCAGCGGTTTCTAAAGTCTGTCCAGATGTTGTCCCAGACATGCTCTTTGCTTCTTCCTTGCGACTTTACATCCAGTTCTTTAGAACCAATGATGCCTACAGAATCTTTATTTTCTGGCGTCTCTGATTCAACTGATACCTTATGACTTGCACTTACATTGACGCTTCTGTATCCATTCCTTTTCCAACGGTGAAAATAATCCTTCCAGTACCTGCAATAAACGTAATACGAGGTTAGAACGACTTCAACTACTCAATTACCCTTTAAGGTACTTTGCCCGATAGAGATGGAGTGCACAAATATATATTTTTCAACGAATACTGAGATGTATAGTCGGTCCGGTCAGCGGTATTGGCGCGGTCGAGATGAATTTGAAATGCGAAGATCCTGAGTTCGAATCCTCTCCCATGCCTCTCAAATATTAGTTCGTTTAGAGCAATTTTCATTCGAACGTCGAAATTAATCCGGGATTACTCCAGTTTTCTTCAACCACGTCTGTGATTGGTCCTAAAAAAACTCACGTCACCCTCTAAACCAATAAGATTCGAAACTAAATCCACTCGCGAATTGCTCACTCTCGTTTTCCCGCGCTTCAGGCAGCAAGCGCGTTTTAACTTTGGGTTCTCATTGGCTCCTCCTGATATTTTTCTTGGCTCTTATTGGCTGTAGCGATTACTTACGCGTTGGTTTTAAGTGCTCTCTATTGGTAGTCCTTGGTTTAGTTTCTGCGAAACACCTTGAAAAAAGCTCATAAGTCTGGAGTAGCAGTATACTTTGTATTTTAGAGCGCGATTCTAGCGTCGAAGAAATTTACTTGGTGATCTTCTCCTACAACCCTTACAAAAACTGGACCCTTGTGTATAAATGTACAACTGTCTAGCTTAAGAGAGCACATCATCAGATATAAGAGGTGTTGCCGCTCAGCTGAATGAAGACTGAGCTGCTCGCTCCCACACCCCTTGGCCCAAAGACCACATGGCTACTTACTTATCGATCTTGATGCCGCCAGCCACAGCCCTTCTCAGCTTCGAGTTCTCGTTCATACGACGCCATAGATCAGCAATTTGTTTTTCTTGTTCGTAAAGCTTCTCCATTTTCTCGAGCTGTTCTTGTAAAGTTTTACTCCACTCACTGCTTCCCTTACTAGACTTCTCCTCTTCATACTTCAGCCGCCAGTACCATGACATGACTTTGCTCATGCGCAAACGCTGTTTCACGCTTTCGTACACGCCCATGAGCTTGAAATGTTTCAGTTGGAGCTTTTCGTGCAGCGCTTTCGTGTCAAACAGATCATCTGTTTCCGTTTCATGCTCCGAATCTTCATGAGTTTCAAGGCGTTCTTCTAATTTCCACATTTCCAGCTGATCTAGGAAATCAACTGATATTTCATCCAAGGGCTCTATGGGATCGCTGTTGAGTGGAAGAGAGGCTGTCTTGGGCCCAGGTCTCTTGATGCTCCCAGACATCTCCAAAGCTTGATTGCTGATAAAAACACTCAACCCTGTCGATAAATAGTGGAGATTGAATTTAATTTATTCAGAACAAAATCAGTTTCCTTTTATCAGCTAAGTTTGTTTTCCTTTTTTTTTTTTTTTGCCCGAAGAAGTTTTTCCCGTTGCCTTCAGCCACATTAGTGGTCATTTTCTGTTTTCTCAGAACCTTGCTATTTGCCTCAGTTAAGACAATTTATGGAGAAATTAGATACTGGTCAATCTTCACAGTAAAGGGCTGAAAGAGCCAATGTCATTTAATAATAGAATTTCCGTGATGAATACAGAGGTGCACAGTCTCTGATTGGTCGAGGATTGCCTTATCATCTCACTATAATCTCCTCGTGCAAAGTTATTACAGTTGGGCCACTAAATTTCAAAATGGCTGCATTGTGTTTTGTCAGTTTTACGTAGGAAGTGATAAATGTGATACAAGAAAATAAAAATCCTAAAGGGTACGAAAGATGCTAAAAGTGTTTGGAGGAAAACTTTTCAAAAGAAAGTCATGAAGGTTTTTGTTGACGGAATTAAATGAACCTTTTAAAATCTAGTGGAAAATTGCTGCTTATCTCAATACAAGTGTAGTTGTAAAAGAATTTACAATTTTCAGTTTACAAAATGAATTTAAAACAGAATTGAAAAGCACTTTTGTACTAAAAAAAAAAAATCATTCCCCCCAGGCTCAGTGAAGATTGTTGAATAGTCCCCTCCACTTTGTCTCAGGGATTATTCAACAATAATCACTTTGCCTTCAGCACATAATTGTTAAATAGCTTGCCTTACCATAGCCAATACTGAATCCCAGGGCAGTTGTTACACCCAGAACTACAAACAAGGTTGGAAGATCAACATGGAAAGCGCTGATATCATTACTGCCTTCTGTTGCAATCTGATCCAGCATTTGTTCATCCTCCTCATCTATTCCTCTGTCCTTGTCAATGACTTCAGACACTTTCGTTATATCAGTACAGTCATCCTCAACCACACGGTCTTCATCCAAATCACTAGGATTAAATAAATCACTATCAAATGAGAAAATGCTGCTTGTGGACACAACCATTTCATCAAGTGGTTTGTTTTCATGACTTAGGTCTTCATAGTCTTCATTTTCATCTTGTTCAGGGATGGGTTCAATGGCGTTATCTTCATCAGAACTGTTTAAATCATTACCAAACGAGAAAGAACCACTCTCTGAGAGTAGAGGAAGCTCTTGCCAACCATTGGAATTACTGTCTGTTGTTTTAGTGAGGGAATGCATACTTCCTGTGTCATCACCAATCAGTTCAGAGAGCAACTGGTCATCTATGTCTTCCCCAGAAGAAGCATCCTGGTCAACACAAAAGTGATTTGAAATGATCATAATACCATCATCTGCAGCACATTGGCAAGAGCTTTGTTGGACTGCCAAAAGCTCATCTCTGGTCTTAGATTCTTCACTGAGTGGTAAATCATAATGGGTTTTTGTTGCAGGATCAGGTTCCAAGTTCTTCTCTTCCATGGGTGGTGGATGACATTGAAATCCACTGAGGACCTCAAACTCTGCCTCTCCTTCACTGTCATCTTTAATACTGGGTGAGTCAAACGAAGAAACTGAACCCTCAGCATGCAAAGGTGACTTGGAATAGGACACAGAGTTCTTCCGTGGCTGAAAAAACAAAAACAAAAATTTACCTTTGAAATTTTGTTTTGCAACATTTCATTTTTCTGTACTCTAATAAGTTCCTAAAATTCAATTATTTAACAAGACACTAGCCAAATTTAATAAATGAATAAAAAAAGATTTATTAAAAAAGAAAGAAATAGGCTGGATTAAGCTGTTTTTTACCATTGCTTTTTAGTACCAAACATGTGAACAGAGGAACCTAAAGAAACTTCCAATCAAAAGAAAGGAAAAATAAAAACAGAGAATGCTCCTCATTCCTTGCTCCCTGAAATTCTAAGATTTAAAATTAAGAGATTACTTGGTCATCAATAATTTCTTTAATACAGAATCAATGCCAAATGCTTTTGGATCAATAATATTACTGTATTTGTCACATGACATAGATATTGCAGTATTTTTGGCATTTAATGAAAACATTTATGACAATATCATTACGAAGTTTTTTACTTTATTATTATAATAATTAAGTCAAAAACTTCTCTGGCTATTTTGATTAATTTAGTAGAAGTTATAAATAAGGCCACCAATAAATAAGCAAGGGTTGCCATTGACTATGATAACAGACACTAAAGTGGAGGCAATTTCTTAGCATTTACACATATTTTTCAGTTTGTGTCATTGCCAACAAAAAGACTCTACAAGAGCTTGGAAACCCATGATTCCTTATAACAATCAAGTAAACATTCCACTTTCTTCTTCTTCTTGCACCTGCAAGTTTTGTAGCCTAATAAATCTGAAATTAAATATGCCATCTGATAATGAAGTCACATTAATACCATTTACATGAATTGAACCAAAATTATAGAAATCCTTACTAATAATGCAAAGAAAATTCTCAACACGAGAATGCTAAAAATCTTTACCCCTAGATAATTTTTATAACTAGATAAATTCTAGTTCAAATCACTTGGAAGTCTAATGGTGAGAAGTCAACAACACAATGCTGACTGTTCCCTCGATATTTCTGTTTAAATTAAAATCGCAAAAATTACATGAAGAACTTTGACCTTGAAAAAGAATTTGTTAGGAAGCTACAGTTTGCTCAGCAACATAATTTGATCACAAAATACAGATCGCTGAAGGTAACAGCAGTACTCAGTTGAGAAAAGGAGGCAGAGAATAAAGCGAATTTGTTACTAATTTCATGTTTTCAGAATAACCACCCGGCTTATGTAATCACAGGTGTAAACGAACGTGGTTATCACGTGGTTACTGTTGACAAGCGAAAAGGGAAAGACGACCAGTTGAAAATGGAAATTTTCGGGACTTGTGGACGTTTAATAAACAAACAGCCGAGTATAACAAGAAGTGCTGCTAATACAAGGGGAAAGTTTACAATACCGAATTTTCTCCTTCTCCTAAATTGATGCAGATTTCGAATATCCAGAATTTATACTGAAAATGGCGGAAAATCCTGGCGCCAAAATGTTAAGCTGAGGAAGCATTTGCATTTGGACTATACCCCACCTAGATTTGACAATTCCCACAAATTTACCTAAGTAGGAAAACCAAATATTTCTGAAGACGAAGACATACTCGTTTTTATGTACGTGAATGTGGAAAACCAGAACACTTTTGTTGAAAACGACTCGAAACTGAAGATGCACCTTACCTCGATGTCAACTTTTCCCTCTTTATCGACAAAAGTCCACTCGTTTTCAAAATCGTCTGAAATTCTGGTAGCCATGGCTCCCGAAGAAAATCATTCACATTATGAAAAACCGACCCAAACAAGAGATTTGTCTATTCGCCGCTACTTGCTGGGTAACAATTCTGAGATATTTTTCTTGTTGAGTGTTTTGGTTTTTGCTCAACTGAGCGTTTCATGTTGTCAATCCGGGATAGTGGTCATGTGATAGTAACTAGCCAATAACAGTATCTTCACATGCATATTTTTGCTTATGTTTCACGCCCCCTGCGAAGCTAACCAATAAAAAAAAAAGCTGGATGTAAACAGAATTTGTGGTTACGCGGTAATAGTGATGCAATTCTTGCTGATGGGAATAACTCCAACGTGCACATTGATAGAACTGCCACGTATACTTCAAATCGCTTCATCTGGTGGGTTTAAATTGAACAATTTTTCAAATAACGCAACCATCAGCACTTTTACATTAAAAAATGTACACAAACTCAGCGGTGCGGCTTGTGGGAAAGGCATCAAATTTTGCGTATTCCCGGGGCAAAACCGCTGGAAAGTTGCCATTTTTGCAAATACGCATTTCTGTCGAATTCTGCCAAAAGACTGAAGGCGTCCCAGCTCATATTTTGAAGCTGAAAACTTCCGTCTGTGTGCGCTAGCGTTTAGAATATATTCTCGTGAACATATTATATTTCGATATGATTAATAAAAAGGCTGAGATATTGGAGCCTATGACTCCAAAAAAAATTGTGAAAAAGTCGAAACATTGACAAAAAAAGTAAACGAAATAAAGTTAAGAGCCGTTTATAAAGACAGCTAATTTTCATCGGGTCGTGTGTAAAATTTTGAAGAACCCTGATTCTTCTGGAGCACGCTGAGAGTACTCTGGACATGAAGTCCAAATAGAAGTCAGTATGCTCCAGTTTTTTTTTTTATGCAAACAATGCAAGATATTGGTCAGGTGATTAGGGTGATTGGGACACTATGAGCATTTATCAGATACTTTTCTACAAGAGCAAAGCATTATTTCTCTACACAGCTCAACCAAGGTCATGGTAAAGAACCAACCATTTTCACGTGTGATCCCTTAGTATACCTTACAAGAGAGAACATCTACCCACAAATGTCAGTGTTAGGAAAGTTCTCCAAAGCCAGGAAAAGACCACACATCAAGCTTAACATAACACATATATTTCAAATCTTAAAACTAGGAAATAAGAGGCATATTACAGCTATTCAAAAATCTGCATTGATGCCATTCGCCATAACTCACAACTGACTGACCACACAGCTCCATTCAAGATGAATATTGCTGGATTATTCAGTGCACCCCTAGTCTAAATTTCCTTCTCTGGATTTTTTTGGATTAGAGGAAATTTTTCTGGAAAAATAGGTGTTTATTTTCACATTGGTATAGAGTATGATTCAAGTTGACCTCAAAAGGCAAGTTTTGCAATTAAGTCTTAAATGTACGTTTTATTTTTAAATTCCTATCTCAAACATTTTTTCTACCAAGGAGCTTACCATAATTATCAGAATAAAGTTAATTTCAACAGAAAAAAAAGTTTCAGTCTGAAGTTTCTAGTGGTTCCAATGTCCTATATTAGCCTTGGATATTGCAGCTTGTATTAGCTGAAGCTTAAAACAGTCCATCTACTAGGAACATTCATCGGCTCCAAGAACCAGAATGTGTGAGAATAAAAATAAGCCCTATTAAAACATGATGGAAACAACATAGGACCACTACTAATCCAGTATTGAAAAATTTCACACTTTGATTTCCATTTACATTATTACCTTCATTATTTCATTTTTCCAATAAAAATTATACAAGGAAATCAAAGTTACAGTTTACTTTTGATAATTAATGTTGGTAATGAGTATACAGAGAGAGATAGCTAGTAGTCATGAATTAAAGCCATGTAAAAAATGAACACAAAAAATTAAAATCCCTGAGACCTCAGAAAATTTGTTTGACCATACTTTAGAGTCTCAAAGCACTAATGCATGCATTGGTGGCTTCTCCTGACATTTAGAAGGAAAAGGAGTCCAAAGAACATTTGATCTGTAAATTTGTTTTGAGGTAGGTCTAGTTTAACCAGCAATGTATTCACTTTCTGGTAATTTTTCTTGTTTATATTTAAATCAAGTTTATCAAGATGGCCATTGCAGTTCTTTTCCTTCTACATAACCTTAACTGGTCTTCACTTTTTAGCTGGAAATGGATCACAGGTATTGGTAGAAATTTGCTGTAGATTTCATGCTCAAAAGATTGGAAATATATATTTTCTAAATTCTGTACATGGACAGTTCACACCCAGGGACTGAAACACATTTGTAATTCTGACTTGTAATTCAGGTGGTCCTGCACACTCAGACACTAGCAAAAATCTAAAAGAGCTCAAAATCAGTTTCAACAATGCCTTTTAAAAATTTGATCATCAATTAAGGTTTAAGTTTGACAACTCGCACTAACTGTATGAGAACTCAGTTTCCATGCCCATTAAAAAGAGCTGAAATCAGCTTCATATACCATTTTTCCTGTTTCTGTTTGCCACCCAAGAAAAGGTTTCTCTAAATAAGAGGTCCAAATAACCAACCTCCCTTTAGCCTGAAGAGCAGGCGTTCTAGTAAAGTTTGGGAGAAAATTAGACCACGTGAAAAATGGAGCGAGGCAAAAAATGAGGTGGCAGGAGGGGGAGAGGAGAGAAGAATTTAGCCCTCCTCCCACCTCCTAATTTTTCGCCTCGCTCCATTTTCACGCAGTCTAATTTTCACCCAAACTTTACTAGAATGCCTGCTCTGCAGGCTAACCTCCCTTAAAATGAAAGCAATCAAATTGAAAATTGAGTTAATGAAGTTATGACCCATTTTGCCACTTGTCATTTACAGCAGAATATAAATCACATCACTTTATTTCATCGAGAGTTCACCCCATATATTTCCCCCTTTATTACATCCATTTTGAAATCCCTGGTGGTCCCTGCAATCTGATTGGCTCTATTTGGTGCAATTTTTGCTCTAAATCGCATCATTTTACGCTTGACTGAGTTTTTGACACATGACGTCAAAGTCTTTCTGCTTTGCATACAAAATAAGATGTAAAAGCCTTTCTGGTTCTGCTTTTTCTTCAAAAACTGGCTCAGTACTGCATCATTAAAATATTTGAATTGACCAAGTCCTGTATTTGGGCAATTTCAAAATGGATGTAATAAAGTGGTAATTGAACCTCATGTCTTGTAATTTTGGTCTGAAATCAGGATTTCAAATTGAACTCGCACTGCGCACTCATTTGATTTTGAAATCACGTGTATGGTTTCAGCCCAAATTGCACTCCACTCAGTTCAATTACCATTATGAAGTACATTTAAAAATACAATTCCTCTCCAGCAGGACCAGTGCACTCAACTATCTCTAGGAGAGAGTCATTCTTATATTTCCATCACTGTGCAATTAAACTTGATTCCACCTGGATTTTCGCCTTATGGGGCTTAGGATACAATGAAGATATGAAGTGGGCTTAGGATCGTAGAATTCAGCTTTACGATGACATTGTCGGAAAAGAAGTCTCCGGCAGCCCACCTTGATTCAAACCAGCTAAATTCTTGGAAACATAGCACTGCACAATCCTTTTCAGCAAGCGACTTAAGAAGGGTAAATTTACTTTTCAGACGTTTTTTCTTCCTATGCTTTTTCTTTTGCAGTATTCTCACTGAGAAGATCTCGCTTTTGGGGCGGCGTTGTACTCTTTGTCTCGACTGAAGCTTGAGCTTTCACAGTAGTGGCGCTATCTTCTTTCTTTATACCATGTTCACTCACGTATCTCTCGAGCAAAGGTTTGTAGATATATACACCGCTCGTAACTCCGACCAAAGTAACTAAAAATAACTGATGTAAAGGCATTCTTCCGATGCTTCTTATGAAAGAAAGCACCATTTTAGGGTGAGATCTTTAGCTAGGGTCTGTCAAAAACCATCAGGCGTTACTCGTTAGCGATAGAGTTAAGACTGGGCTCCCCACTGTACAGATGCCTTGTTGAATTTGATGGCTAAGGTGGAAATGGAGGTCGAAGAAATCGGAGGACCTGAGCTAACAAGAAGAAAACGGACTCAAATGGGTAAGGAATCAGAGAGGCCATCTTCCATCGACCAGGGAGAAGTCGCTTTGGTATCTTCAAATGTTATTTACCGGTCAGACAATTGGCTGTTTCCAGCATTACTCTTGTTCAGGATCATTAATGCCTTGGTAATCAAGACATTTTTCGTCCCTGATGAATTTTGGCAAGGGCCTGAAGTTGCCCATAGAGTTGTATTTGGATATGGATACTTGACATGGGAATGGAAAGAGGGCCTTAGAGGCTGGACTTTTCCTCTGATCTTTGCAACAAGTTACAAGCTCTTGGCCTTATTTGGCATTGATACCGCTAAGTTCCTTGTTGTTCTTCCCAGGGTGATGCAGGCATGTTTTGCATCGTTCGGCGACTTGTTTTTGTACAAATTAGCAGCAAAGAGGTTCGATCTACAAACTGCGAGATGGACACTCATTTGCTACTTGATCTCGTGGTTTACACTTTACTGCGTGACTAGGACGCTGACAAATTCATTGGAAACCGTACTAACAACAATGGCTCTTTATTACTGGCCTTGCGGTGGCCAAAAAGATGGCATTAAACAAACTTTCAAATCTCTCTCTGTTGCGGCGATTTCTTGTATCATCAGACCAACAGCTGCAGTCATGTGGATTCCACTGTGTGCTTTTTATTTATTTTCATTGCCCGACAAATTATCATTTATCGTTAGCTGTATTTCTCCTATTGGATGTCTGGCAATTTTATGGTCCCTCATTGTCAACAGTTGGTGTTGTGGCAAGTGGACACTGGTGGAACTCAACTTTGTCAAATTTAATGTCATTACTGATATGGGAACATTTTATGGAAGTCATCCATGGCACTGGTAGGTAACAACTGGACTCACTTCTCTAGCTTGGAGCAGTTCTTTCCTTGAAGGGAAGGGAGCTCTTTTTGTAGGGTACAATATGTGAGTTTTGTTCCAAAATTCTGCTTCTGTGTTGGCTAATAGCTACATATTTCTCAGGTATTTTACTCAAGGATTTCCTGCTGTGATGTTTACACACTTGATTCCATTTTTTGGTGGTGTTTACAAAGCTTCCCAAAAGCAGCAAACCTTGGCTTTGCTAATCTTGTGGAGCATCATCGTCTACAGGTTTGTCACAAATAGAAAGAGAGCTTTGAATCATTCCTTTTTGTAAGTCTTTCCCATGAAAACTTGACAAAATATTGGGAGTGTTTGCTATCAACTGTACTGAGTGAAAAGTAAACCATCATGATTTAACTCTCACATTTGACTGATTAGTCAGCAGGATCAATTGTATTATCTGATACCAGATAAGAACATAAACTATGGTTTGCACTTTACTTACAGTTTCTTGGGACACAAGGAATTTAGGTTCATTTTTCCTGTGGTCCCTTTGGCCATGTGCTACTGTGGGTTCTTTCTAAGCTTCCTTTCTGGATATCAATGTGAGAAAAAGGATCATGCATTTGAAGATGGTTTTTCAAGGAAGGTGAAATCTGGCTGGAAAGCAAAGATGATGGTACTATTTTTAGTACTAACAAGTATTCCATTGGCCATATACACCAGCACTGTTCACCAAAAGGGAACAATTGATGTGATGGAGTACATTCAAAGCGAAAGCTCCAAACTGAGAAACACTAATGACATGTCTGTATTATTTCTGATGCCATGCCATTCAACGCCATTTTATAGGTATTTTCTGCAGATTTTGATGGTTGCTCCTTTGAAACTGTTTTCAACTCTTTTTTTTTTGTGCATGTAGTGGTAGATTCTGTCCTTATCTTTAGTGTCTTAACTACCTTATTCCAAGCTTTAGGTCAATAGACATGACAAAAAATGGGAGTTCAAAACATTTTGTTGGCTTACAAGCAAGATAGGGACCATTTGGTTCCAAACTTCATAATTTTTCTCATTTACCTGCTTGTGATCAATACAATCTTCTCCATTAAACAAAAGCATTGCACAAGAATTATATTTGACGTATGACAGTAGTTATGAGTTAGTGGCATTCTTTTTAAAAAAGTTAGCACCATTCAAAACTAGGTACATTATTTTTTTAAAAAGTTTTTTATGACCAACCTTATCAAAGGAATTTGATGAAGTTGGAAAGGTCCCATGAAGGTGAGTCTTCAAGCTTGTGTAAAAGTTTCTGAGCTCCAGGATGTAGAGGGAACATAACTCTTGTAAGATGTTGATTGAACCTACCTAAGGCAGAAGTTTACTTCACTAACTTTATCTTAGGTTGTAGTGGAATATAAACTTAACAGCTCATTGAATAACAGGTTTTGTTTGATAGTTTTGTGCACAGAAACATAAGCATGAGGTTTTTAGAATGTCCCCCAAGTGCAGAGCCAGGATATATTGATGAAGCTGATCAGTTTTACAGACATCCCACATCATGGCTATCAGAACAATTCAGGGACCACAGAATCCCCTCAGGTCACCAGGGTGAACCTCACCACCTTCCATCACACCTTGTCCTGTTCAATGTGCTTTTACAAGTTAGTTCATTTTTCTTCTAGGGCAAAATGAATCCTTATTTGTTAGTTCAGTAATAACCTTTCACATAGCTGGGGTTGTATTGTTGCAATCCTGAACCATTGTGAAGGTGACTGTGTATCAAGTAAAGCAATGATCATCATGTGCTACAATTTAACCGTTTAACTCCCAGAGGTGATTAACATGTAACTTCTCCCTTTATTACATCCATTTTGAAATCACTGGTGGTCCCTGTTATCTGATTGGCTCTAATTGGTACGATTTATTCACAAATCTTACGATTTTTGCTCTAAATTGCATCATTTTATGCTTGACTGAGTTTTTGACACGTGACGTCAGTCTTTTTGTTTTGCATACAAAATAAGATGTAAAAGCATTTCCAGTTCCACTTTTTATTAAAAAACCAGCTCCATACTGCATCAATAAAATATTTGAATTGACCAAGTCCTGTATTTGGGCAATTTCAAAATGGATGTAATAAAGTGGTAATTGAACCTCATGTCGTGCAATTTTGGTCTGAAATCATACTTGTGATTTCAAATCNATTTGAGCAAATTAAAAAATTTTTGCACAGAAATACTCCAAAAAATAAGCTTATTTTGTCAAGCGAAAAAAAAATTTTGGGTTTAGGTGCACTTTAAATTTGTTGTTGAGTGCAAAAGAATTCATCTGGTTTGGGAAGAGTAAAAATGGTTTCATCATCTTTTCCTTCACAAACCCTGGTTCAAGGTTTGATTTGTAAAAATTCCCAATCGTCTGCTAACAATTTAGGTTTTCTTCTTTTTTACTGGACAGTAAGTCACCACCAACCTCAGTACTACTGCTCTTTAGAACCCTCCCCCTTTTTATTGTTATAGGTTTTTGTGTCTTTGCTAATTTTAAGTTTTTTTTTTCTTTGTAGAGTATATCAAAGTGGTTGGAGCATTTTCATTACAAAGAGGTGACCTCGTTTGACAACCAAACTATATGTAATCTTAAATTTCTGATACTTGCATCATACTTATTTGCCAGCTATGTAGTATTTCATAGATATCCCTTCCTATTCCACATCACATAGCCCTCAACAAGAGTCCTTGATTAGAATAAATAGTTAAAAAGCTTTCTGAAAAAAAAATTAAGTAAATGTAATAGTAATCAACATTTATAAAGTTTATCTTGCTTAATCAGCATTCTGAAAACTGTATTGTTTCTTTTTGTTAAGTTGACATTTCTTGTTATGATGAAACATAATGTCATATGTTGTGCATGATCTTTAAATCTTTGTGGCCCTTTTTTTTTTTTTTTGCAAAAAGTACACCCTTGAAGTGAAAGACTCATTTGAAGCAGTCAATCCTGAATGAAATGCCACTGTTACGATTATAAAAGCTGACATTTCGAGCATTAGCCCTTTGTCGGAGCGATTCATTGATTCACTCCGACGAAGGGCTAACGCTCGAAACGTCAGCTTTTATAATCGTAATAGTGGCCAATTTACCATTTCAACTTTGTTGATATATTCAAATTATTTTGAATGAAATGCATTTTTTTCCGTTGTTGCAGTGTGCAAGATTTTTCCACACCCATTTCCCAGGGGGTCGCATTGGATCTGAAGTATTGGTGTACTGTCATCAGAACTCATAATTAACAACACATCCAATAAAAATTATTTGAAGTCAGTGCTTTGTATTGCATTCTCCCCTCTTGTTTAATTTTTTTTTAGTGAATGAAAAAGAATGAGGTGAACACTTCTTCCACTCCCCTTACTCAGATAAAAATTCACTAACTGTCAATAAATGAGACAACTTTTCCCCTAGTTGAAAGGTGTTGTATTTTCATGCTCTGTGCACAGGTAGCTAGACAAAATAAAATGCCCAGCCATGTCTAGCAGTGAGGTGTTGACACCTTACCTGCTATTTTTAGTTTCTAAATTTTAATAAAATCAATGATCAGAGGATTTTTGACCACAGAAACTTATTTAATAGGTACTAAACTAGTTGTTACATGTTATGCAAATCTTGTTTAGAGTTATCATATTGAAAACAAAACCTCATTAAAATGTTGTTTAGAGTAAAAATTAAAAAATGGCATGTTTTTCTGAGTGAGCCACAGGAAAAATTTGAAGCAAGAACATTGTAACAAGGTCAAGCAATGAGCATTTTACCAACATCAAGGTAAATTGAAAACAATTATGCACAAATTTAGCTATCTAAGACATTCACAGTGTAAAAAAAATTGCATATAAATATTTACAAAGTGATATCAACAAGCCCACAATCACCCTGGAGAAGCAGCCATTGACAACATTATTATTATTAAATCTGAAGTAGTCCTTTTACGATTTTTGAAGCGCTTGATCGTGTTGTTCGTGTAGACAGAGTCCATTATAACGTGAATCCAACTGTTATCATTACATTTTAAATCTGACTTGAATGAATTTCATAAGTGTCTGTACAATATATATCCCGAGGTAGGCTTCTTACTTCACTTTCTTCCTGAATAAGAGTATATGTGGTTCTGTGCAGAAAAGCAAAGAATATGGGTTAGAATTTTTCACGTATTCCTTTCAACTGCTAGTGCACGGTTTCTGTTAATGTTACATTATATTATTATATTAATGATTATTATATTATGAATTATTTTTTTTATCTTTTTAGCCTTGCTCTTGCTGTAACTTTTAAAATTAATACTTAGGATCGGAGATACTTGCTTGTAAGCAAGATTGAAATCCGAGGATAAATAAAGCTTATGTATGTAACTAACATATTGTGGAATTTTTTGGAGTTTAAACATGTTGTTGACTGTTCCCTTATATTATTTTTTGATTACCCTAAGGCCTAATTTTGTATTCTGCTTGTGCTTGCAAAAAACAAAAAGTTCAACAAGAACATACTAAAGTGATAACGATGGCGGAGAGATTCCTAATTCATTCCACGCATGTACTAGTTACGACTGTCCATAAAACAAGTGGATTTGAAACATAATCAAAGACAAGTTACAGGCGATAAGCATTCCTTTTTTTTTTCCATATTCCTAAAACCGTTACAAACTTTATTGAAGCTTTTTACCTGGTCCGTGTCTCAAGTAATGTACCCATCCCTGCGATTGTTGAACCCCCAAATTTCGCCATTCTGGCTCTGACATAAGCCTTTGAGGAACTTTCTTGGCGATGTCCTTTGGTAAGATAACATGTCTTGAAGGTACATATAAAAAAGAGCATGTTGTTAGGACGAAGCTGACTCTATTTGTAAATTTGACGGTGCAGCTGAAACTTAGCATTTCGAAATCACAGCAAAGCAACTGTGTAAACATTACCAGTAACTAAGCCAGATTTTCAAGTCTTACCTAAATTCGTATTCACCTGCGTCGTCGGCGTATCTTGGAGAGTAATAAATATCTTTTACAGACATTCTGCACGAAATTACTAATGGCGAAAGCAAGGAACGAGGCGAAGCAGCAAAAGAAGTGAAGATCGGTTACAACTGAGAGTCGACAACGGTTGCAAGGATTTGAAAAGTAATGAATGCGAACTTTTGTTGTGATTGGCCGAAAGTAAAAAAGGATTGCGCAATTTGATTGGTTCATGTTTTTCTAACCCAGTCTTCCGTCGTTGAAGCAATTTGTAACGCAAGGCATAGCGTGACAAAGGAACGACTTTTAAAAATAATTTTTGAAAACATCTCAAGTTTGGTCTTCTCTTTTCTTACTTTCTGCTTTTGAGGGACGTCAGCCAGGGACTAGAGAAAAGCCAGTATTCTGAAACAGTACCCATCAAATCAACAGGTGGTCGTTGTTAAAGATGTCTGCGATTTTAGTGTACTTTTGCAGCACATGTCTTCCTCTGGGCTGTTAGATGTTTGCTCTTTATTCCTTCAGAATCAAAGTTTTCATTACAACGCTGGTTAAGATGAGAAACATGATCACCGTATTTTTCTTAATGGGAAGCAGGGCATCGTAGAATTAGAAAGAAAGTTAAGCTCCTTTCCTGCATTTCAATATTTTCCAAAGATATGGTCCAGTTTTACAAACACACGTCTCAGTTCAAAGTTTAAATATTTGGATCGCACGAGCATGTTTCCTTCGAAATTTATCAAAAAGTTTCAGTGACAAGCAAGAACTGATTATCCAAAAAAGTAAATGCAACAATAGCTAATTTATAGAAGTCGAAGATCCAAAAAAGCTAATGAAACTGATTGGACCTACAAAGAAGTCAGTTTTGGTAATCTAGGGACTTCATTATGACAGTAGAGATGAAACCTTTCATTGTCAATACTAACAGTTGTCAGCCCACCTTGTCAGGTAAATCTTGCAGACTGCTTTAAACCAGCTGGAAAGAAGAGTTTCTTTTCATAACTTGCTCATACACATGTGTCAATGACCAGGTTTGTTTTATCTTTTTTATTACTATTTGTGCATCGTGGCCTGCCCCCATTCAATCAAATTGGACTTTGTAAGTTTCGTTGCCTGCGTACACTGAATGCAAATATGGCGTTCAATTTGAATTGCCATTGTTCTGGACTGACCAGCCTCGTCTTCACGTGGAAACACAAAAGGATTATTACAAGTATGGGAGGCTAGTCAGTCCAGAACAATGGTAATTCAAATTGGACACCATAAAAATTATTTGCATTCAGTATATATTCTGGTTTTCCTGAGTTTGGGTTTTAGGCTCAGTAAAGTCAGGCTCATAGCAAACCTTGAGCAAGTGCAGACTGGCAACCGAAATAATGTCAAAGGTTCATTTTTAGCCTTGTCAACTGGTTGTAGTGATTCAACCTTGGCTCATGAAAAGGGGCCAAAAGTTGTCGAGAGCATGACTGCTTCAAAACTCAATAGACAGTGAGTTCCTTTGCAGCCAAACAAACATTTTCACAACTTGCACTTCAAAGATAGATAAAAACTTCAATTTATCCATCAATGGCATTTATGATGGCCTTTAGACATGCAAAAAAAGGTATGCAAAACTCTGAACAAAATTTAATCATTAGATTTACATTTGTTCTTCCTTTAATGCAGCAAGCTAAGCAAGCAGTACATTTTATGTAAAGAAGCTCAAAAGTGCTGTCAAATAATTAATTTGAAGTGAATAAATTATGTTGTACACTATAAAGTTCCTGGAACTCATTTATCTGAACTATAAATTTATGAAACAAATAATCAATTACATTTGTATAATTGAACAATTCAAATGAACTCTGGAAATTGACATCATAATCTTCATATGATGAAATTTGTTATTTTGAATGCAGAGACAAGCCTTAGACAAGTACAATGTTCCAGCTTCATTCCATTAACAGTTAATACAATGGGATGCTTGTGTTTTAATTCTTGCATAGGTCAGTCCTTTCTCTTCTGAATAACAAAATGTGAGGCTCTGAAAGCACACAGACAATCATAAGTAGAACTTTGAATGAACCCAGCTCCCCTGATTTTTAAAGCTTCAAAAGACCCTTACAACACTAATAACTCACTTCAATGGATCCCACAAACTTGTTAATTGAACAAACAAATAATCCTTGCAGATATACTGCAATTTAAGCAATAGAAAAAAAAGGAAGTCTGAAGAATTTAATTAAAAAATTGTGATCAAACTTTCAACTCCAGTAAAGTAAAGGTTTTTTCAATACTTACTTGATCACATGAAGTAAGTCTCTTCTATAGATTTAACAATTAAGAACTAAATATGGAAAAGAACCACACACCAAGAGGGTAACGGACCCAAACAGTACATCATTCAACACAAAAAAAATTGGTAAACTGATGGTGTGAAATATTGTTCATATTAACAGAGTTTTGTATTACTGAGAAGCAAGCACATACCCACGACCATAAAAAGGCAGTTTCTTTTTTTTTTTTTTCGTAATTTAAAGCTACATTTTGGAGGAATATTCACGTATTCATAAATCTCGTTGAAAATACAGCCAAAGATTTTAATGTTTGCCTCTGTAAAGTGGGTGTTATTGCATGGAATCTGTAACAGAAAAAGAAGAGGAGAGAGCATACTATTGGCAGTCACTAATCACGAAAAGAGCTCTCCTAGCTAATTTTCAAAGTTTTAAAAAAATTCAGCGAGGATGAACGTCACAATTTGCAAGTGAATGTCGACCTACCAGACTGTGGGTTGTTTCGTGTTCATAGAGGCACTGAAATCAATTATGAGCCACCACCAAGAAAGGCAGTGGAGTACATGCACGTTTTGAAACTTAACTTCAAACTTACCTGGGTCATGTTTCATGTAATGTTCCCAACCCTGAGATTGTTGAACACCAAGACTTCGCCATTCAGTTTCTGACATAAGGTGCCGTTTCGGGACAAGCTTAGCTATTTCCTTCGGTAACAGGACATGTCTAGAAAAGTAAGCACTGAATAATCAACACAAGTCGGGCTTAACGAAAAACCTAACATTCTTGCGAGGCAACGTGAAAAAGGAAACGTCGCCATGTTTTTAACGAACCTTCACCTGAACTGATCCACTCTTAGCAACACAAGACTTGAAACGGCAGTTATTTATTGCTAAAAATTAAACGAAGACTGGATAGTTTACAGTAAAAAGAGAGTATTATTTGGTGCCTCTTCAGCTACAAAATTGCAGCATGGAGGTTTAGAGAGAAAACCAATACGTTTGAAATAGGAGCATGCAGGTAAAAAGTAAAATTTGCAAAGATGTGTAAGCTGTGTCCATTTTCACTTTAAAACCAGCTTACAAGCCACAGAATGAGGAGATAAAGCAGCGAGTTGGTAACATCCTTACCTGTACTCGAATACGTCGTCGTAATATTTCTCTGAGTAATATATTTGCTTTACTGACATTTCGACGACTTGCGGCAACTCGAACCAGAGGAGTTCTTCCCGGCAAATGTCTCAAAAGAGTTATTTTCTCGATTTTTAACATTAGCGCGCTGCTTTCTGATTGGCTACTCGTAGTAGATTGAATATTCCCGATATTCCCAAACTGCTTTACGCGAGATAGTTTTGAAGATGGCGGACGTTTACGTGGCCTTACTCCATTCCAAACAAATTCCCAAGATGCTGCCTCAGTAACCGGCCGCTAAGGGAAAACATGTGAAAGGTGATAGCCAAATAAAATTCTTGCATGATGGCTAAAATGGAACGTGAAGAGGCAAAGGAACGTGTGCTACAAAGACTTGAATCTGACCTCACATCGGCTGATCTACAGTGGAGTTTGTTTATTGTAGCTCTGGAAAGTTACAGACATGACAGCATATTGAGACCCTTTCCTTCTGCGTATGTGGAGGGTGATGGTGATAAGAATGTTCAAAGGCTGGTGAGTGTCGGTCAATGGAAAATCAGAGTTCTGTACTCTTATTATAAAGCTACACACTCCAAACCCCCCCTCCCCCCCACGCGCCCTCCCTCTCCCTACTTCCACTATTTTTTTCAGCACCTTTGACGACTTCATCTGATGGATTTATAAAAAAATTGTGGGCCTCTTTGAAAAAATTTATCTCAGAGACCTCTTCTAAAGGTTGCCTCCCATTGGTTAATTGTGGTAATTCATTATGGGCAGCACTACTAAATTTGGTTTTCACAGGTTCAAGTTTGCAGTATTGTTCCTTCATTTGACAAGCTATTGACGGAAACCAGTAAGGTTTATGCTCAAGAAACTTGGGACATCTTGGACTGGGCACTGGATAGAACATTTTCACTGAGATCTGTTGAGAAATCTGTGGTAGGCTTTTGAAAATGAATTTGCCTGATTATGGACGCCTCTGTCTTTTTGTAAATTGTAAAACTGTTCTCCATATACTTAAGGCATCAACAAGAGGTAGTACTGCTTTCCTGCCTGAAAAGGTGAACACTGTTACGTAATATGTTAGTATTTTTTTTCAATTTCCTCGACAAATTGTTTTTGGCTATTATTAATCCCAACAGTTCTTAGAGATTGAGCGAAAAACTGGTCAAGCAAGTTACTGTTCCACCACACCTGACTTCATATTTGAAGTTGTTTACAGTGAGACAAATACTCTCAGTGCAATGTTTGATGATATGTCACAGACTCGTGATGTTTGGTATGCTTACCATGGTAGTAGAGTGGACAATTTTCATTCTATTTTGAATAATGGATTACATGCACATCTTAACAAAGTGAGTACATGTAATCATTTTCCTGAAAAAGTTTAATGCCTTTAGAGCGAAATTATTGTTATGAATCTTGTTAGCTGTTTGTTTAGTTGAGTTGCCAGGTGATCTCTGCTAGATTTTGAATGACTGACTAATTGACTGACTGACTGACCAAGAAGCTGGCTGGCTGACTGACTTACCAGCTGCCTGGCTGGCTGGCTGGCTGGCTGGCTGGCTGGCTGTCTGGCTGGCTGTCTGGCTGGCTAGTTGGTTGGCTGAGTGGCTGGTTGGCTGAGTGGCAGGCTGGCTGGTTGGCTGGCTGGCTGTCTGGCTGGCTAGCTGGTTGGCTGAGTGGCTGGTTGGCTGAGTGACAGGCTGGCTGGCTGGCTTACTGGCTGGCTTACTGGCTGACTGCCTTACTGGCTAACTGATTGACTGACTGATCAAGTGACTGATCAAATGACTGGCTGGCTGGCTGACTAACTGACTGGCTAGCTGGCTGAGTGGCTGACTAACTGGCTGGCTGACTGGTTGACCGGCTGACAGCCTTACTGACTGATTGACTGACTGATCAAGAGGCTGTTTGGTTGGCTGACTGACTGTCTGGATGGCTGAGTGACTGACTGTCTGGCTGGCTGGTTGACTGACTGACTGCTTTACTGACTGATTGACTGACTGATCAAGTGGCTGGCTGGTTGGCTGACTGATTGTCTGCCTGGCTGAGTGGCTGACTGACTGTCTGACTGACTGGTACATTGTGTGACTGACCAACTTAATAGCTAAACAAATGTAGCTTTTTAACTCTTTACAGTGGCCAATTTACAATTTCAACTTAGTTGATATTACCAAATTACCTTGTTACACCCACCAACGCAGCACCAGAGTTTCTTTAGAAACTTACCCCCTTTATTCATTATGACTGACAGACTGTCTAACTAATTGACTGAATAGCTGGCCAAAGGAATATCATCCTTGGAGATCCGGGGAGAAATAATTGAGCAAGGGAAAAATACAGCGGGGGTCTACTCTCACAGTGCCTCACTGGGTACCAGTGAATTGTAAGTGAAGCCTTATAAAATGCAGGGGGGTAACCAAGTGATGTTATAACATAACCAAAGTAAAAGCATGCTCTGATTGGTCAATTTTCAGTGTCCACCATTTGCCCATGGGTGTACACTTCTGATGTGAGCAAATGCAAAGACTAGTTTTCCGCATGCACTTGTTTTTTCTGGTCACATAACATAGTTAAATAAGAGAAAAGTCTTTGGCTACAATGTATCAATGTTATGTTATAAAACAAATGGTAAATGCCTAAGTGTTCACTATTGAGTTATGGATGCACTAGGGAGGTTTGCTAAGCACTCAAGAAGCTAGAGTCACTCTCGGCTATCACCTTGTGTGACTCTTACACTTCTTTCGTGGTTAGCAACCTCCTGCATGCATCCATAACTTACCAGTGTACGCTGGGGTTTACCATTTTGTTTACCATTTTGTTAAGACTAGCATCTCATCCAGAGGGGTGAAATAATACTCCTAGTTGCTTTATGCTGCATGGAAACCTGGATAAACTCCTGCTGGGTGGGCTAACAGGCTTCAGTGCAGACTTTACCCAATCAGTGAATAGACCAATGGATCAATATACTGCATTGTATCTTGTAGCTTTTTTTCTTTTTTTTTTTTTCAAACTTTTATATCAATCTTTATTGTATATAGTTTAATGAACTTTTATATCTCATATATGATATTAATCTATTATTTAATTTGTATTTCCTTTAGTCGAGCATTTTATACATGAGCCCTTGGCTCGGGAGATTGGGTGACCACTCCCCACGTTATCGACGATAAATAAAGTTCATTCATTTATTCGATGATCTTAATTAAGTGGTCAATTAAACCACCTTTCTTCATTTTCTTTAGACATCATTTTTCGGAGAAGGAACCTACCTGTCAAGTGATCTAACTGTTTGTATGAATTACAGTAGTTTTGGTTCAGGGTGGAAGAACAGCACGATAGGAGAAAAATTAAGTTGTGTGGCTGTCTGTGAGATCCTGGACCATCCAGATGTGAAGTGCACTATCAAATCTAAAACAAATGACAACAGACTTCATCGTTCAAGGGCCAGAGCAAGAAACAGTGAGGGAGGGGATGTTCCTGAGAGATATTATGTGGTTACAAACAACCACGTTGTTAGGGTGAAATATGTACTGGTGTATGCTGAGAAGAAAGCACCCACTAGGTATAGCAAATGTAGTGTTATAATCATTAGTGGCAGTTATGACAACATTTATCCTTTTACTCCAACCAGAAATCTGAATATTAATTCTTTTAAGTAGGTGATACTTAAATATATTCTCATTTGCAAATTCTCGTTACTTGGAAAGCTGAGAATCAAACAGGAAAGGACACTTCAAACAATAGTCTATGACCTTCTTGAACGATTTAGAATTGAGTGTCATAAAACCTGAAACAAAAGTAATCACAAGAGCCAATTAAAAGAGATGAAAAAATTTAAGAACCAGTGAGAACTCAAAGTAAAAACGACCAAACAGCCTATAGCATGGGAAAAGGAGGGCCACCAAGTTGTGAGGGGGGTTAGTTTTGCATCTGATTGGTTGAGAGAGTGGCACAAGTTTCAGGGCTGGACACTAACTTTTCAACTTACTAGCCAAGTGGCTAGTGACATCTTAGATGCTTTTAGATGTTACAACAATTTCAGTCTGTTTACTAGCCAAAATGGCTAGTGGAAATATAAAACCACCAGCCAAAACTGAATTTCTACTAGTCTATGGCTAGTGGGCTACCATTAGTGTCGAGCCCTGAGTTTTCTAGACCAATCCCAATGTGAAGTAAAGCAAACTACCCTAATGCAATTCCAGATTACCTTCTACACCCAATTGAAAATTGCTCTAACTGTGATGTTCATTGTTTGGGAAAATTTTGTTTGATATTTTCCACTAAGTTGTCTGGTGTTGCTTTCACTGCTGTATCCTTCTTTCTGGGGTCTGTCTGAACTACCAGTAAACTGGTTAGCTCCAAGATCTAAAGAGCAATTCTCCCATCTTGTTGCCTCTCATTTCCTTGAAAATATGTTGAGAGAAGCTGGTGCCATGTCAGGATAATACCTGGAAGGTTGAGCTGATCATTTTGTTGCTTCTCATCACTTTTTAACAGGATAATATATTACATTTGAGAGGAGAAATTACTTTTTGTTCACTTTGACTGGGATTTAAGGATTAACATAACCACTGTTGTGTGACAAACTGGTCTTCATATCTCTGAACATACTTTAAGGAAACAACTATTATGTATTTACACATTAAAATTTCTATCCTAATTTTGATTTATGTCAACTTTCTTTTGTCTCCTTATCCAGGACACAAGCTCATAACTGGCTCATATGCCGATATCCATTGGCTTCAATTATGGTCGTCTATATCTTGGTTTTAATTTGTGTGGGATTCTCCAAAACAAGACAGTTCCAAAAGTTTTATAGCAAATATTTCAAAGGAAGCTAACTTACCATAGGTTGAAATATATTTTTGAATTCTTTTAAGTAAATATTTAAAATTATGCAATACTTTAACTCAGTATCTGGTGGCTATAAAATGAAGGGTATTTTTTAAGGTTTTTAAGGAATTTTTTGTAATTGTTGTAGGTAGTTTAGTTGTTGCTTGCACTGATAAAAGAGGGTATATTCTGATAAATGGAAGGAAATAAAATCAATAAGAGTTAAATTCATTCACTCCCACGAAGTCCCATAATCAGGGGAATTATTAAAAAAAAAAAAAAATGAAACATTAAAATGTTTCAGGACCTGATGATCCTCAGCAAATAACTTTTTGAATTATTAACCCATTCAAAGGAAACAGCCCATTTTTTAGTCTCATGAGTTTTGCTTTGCTCAAATGTTCAAGTACACATAGCAGTAAGGACCTTAGAGTATTTCTTCTTAGCTAATACAAAATCTGAAGCGCTTATGCATTATTAGGGACGACAAAGCCATACTTCTTCTCATGAGCAGTTGGGTTGAGGGAGCTTCACCAAACTGCAAAGGTGAGGGGAGGGGGTGGGTCAAACTTGTTGCCATTGCTTTACCCTTGAAAACTTGGGATGGGGAAAGCCTTGGGAGTGCGGTTGTGAGTGAGCAAAATACTTTTCTTGCCCCCTTTCATTCCCTTTTCTTTCTCTTGTCTATCATCTACAACCTTTCAGCAACTTCTTTCTTTTCATGAAGAAGTACTGAACACTTGATCAGTATCCCTTGGCCACTATTTACTCTGCAATATGGTTTCAAAATGCAAGAATGATTTTTTAATTGTGAAAAATTTAATACACTCTCATGCAGTTAAATATCCTGATTAAAAGAATTTTTAAATACAGGCTGATGGTGAGTTCCAACTAACATTCATTCTCATATGGCTTGGTTGCACTAAAAGTAAGTCTTCAGTTTTCTCACAGTTTGGCACAGTGAGAAATGTGCAAGCAGTCAAATGTATACTTTGCTGTTCCTTGGGACAGAGCTGAATAACGTATACACATGCACTTTATTTTGCCATGGAAATATGGATTTTGAGTCGTTCGCATGAATGATCTATTCTGTTGCTTCAAGGTGTTGTGTTCCTTGCCGCTTTTCTTTCACAGAACAACCTCCAAAAACTTGGTACACCCCCTAAGAATTTTCAAAAATTAATTTTCTCCTTAAAACCTCTGGAAATAGGAAAATGCCTTCGACAAAAACAGAGTTCCTTGGTTTTAAAAGTCAGCCCTTACTATTTTCCGCTAATTTCGCTAAATTTTAGACCTAGGACACTTGAGCCCATGTTATTGACCACAACCCACTGACGTAGCATTTCATTATTCAGCTCTGTCGTTCCTCGGTTGATTTGTGGTAAACCACTCTACTACCTTGGGAGTGGGAGACACAGTGACCTAATTGTCAATGCACTAGACTCTGGTTTGAGAGGTCTGGGTTCTAGACTTGGCTGGATCATTGTACTTTACTCTGACAGTGCCTCTCTCCACCCAGGAGTGTAAATGAGTATTGGCAATTTGTCAGAGAAGCCTGATAAAATGCTGGGGGGTAAGCTTGCAGTGGACTAGCATCCCATATCCAAGGGGAAGTTGTAATACTCCTAATTGCTTCATGTTACTGGAAACTGGGATAAGCTGGGTGGGCAAATAGGCCTGAGTACAGATTTATCAGTACTTTTATTGGGACCAATACACTAAAAGAGTCACTCCTACCTTAAAAATTATCAATAGAGTTATTTGTGGGGTAATGTTCTGAATTCAAAACCTATTTCAGTATTTACAACAGTTTATCATAGCCAAAAAAAGACTACCAGAGGCCAACAAGAACTTACAGTCAAATCAAGTACATGGCGTTGAAATTGTGATCGACAAAGTGGCAATTCCTTTTATCTTTGCATTTTATTGGTTGAAAAGCTTCTAGCTCTCTCTGACTTGGTACAATCAATATTGAACCTTGCCTTGCCCTGTTCCAGTCCAAAGCTCTTTAAGTTCCACATCACAACCAAGATCTCTGAGAGCTGCTTTAGCTAAATCCTCACAATCACCCATCTTGCCATGCGCTTTCCTGATCAAGCTTTCAGCTCCTGCTTCCAGGATAATGTCACAGTGATCAGGGTTACGGGCCACCAGGTTCCGCAGAGCTAGGCAGGCTTGTTTCTGAAAAGAATTAATGATTAAGTCAGTTCATTCTGCCTAAATTTGACTCAATCAAAGTGTTAAACCGCAGGTCCACCCACTAAAAAGGAGTAAGCTATTTGGTTCAACAAATTTATTAAGTATGACAAGGTTATTTGGTATGATAAGCAACAAAAAAAAAGGCTTTTGTAACTTGTGAAAAAATTTCAGTGTGAAGGGTCATGGATACCAAGGCTGCCATAAAAAAGTTTCGGGCACAATTTTTTGCCAAATTAATCAGACAAAGGTATTAAAAAAAAGAATTTAAAAAACAGTGAAAGAAAACATTCTGACGCCTGGCCTGTCTCTTGGAAAAAGTCAGACCTGTACCCCTTGCCGAAGGTTGATATACCTAAGGGAATATCAGACTTCCGCGGAATAAATGTTGAGGTTCTTTTTCTCTACAAAAAAAAAAAAAAAAAAAAAAAAAAAAAAACATACTGCCCACTGCCCAATTTTAAACAGAAACATGGTTTGTACTTCAAGACTAAATTATTAGTAGCCACAACTTAGTCTTGAAGTACAACTTACTGTGATTAACTTAAACTCTACTCCCGCCATTCCGCTCAAGTCTAGGCTTCTACCATGAAGTTAAATAATTACCTTTCATGTATTGACAAGAAAATCTTTTACCTGTACTCCAGCAACATCAGGATGAATCTGCATAGCCTTGACAATGGCCTCTACCCCTCCAGCAGCCACAATAGCTGAGCAGTTAGGGGGGCTCCTCAAAGCAATAGAACCTAGAGCTGCACATCCTTGTTCTGCCACTGTTGCCTGCTTAGCATGGGTCGTCATGGCAGCAACAATGAGTCCCAGGCCACCAGCATCAACAATGGAAGTCTTGACATCATCATTTCCAGCTATGGCTCTGAGAAGAGTGCACACCTGCTTGGCAATATTCTGTAATAAACAATACAAGTTGGAGTAAAAATGCAGTTACAACATCAACAAGATGCTGTCGGTTTGATCTTAGTTGTTGTCTTTTGTCTGTCTACCTGCAGTCTTAGGCAATGCATTCTAAATCAAATGGCCTGGGTTCAAGCTCACTTCACACCTTAACATAGTATTTATATTCTCCACACTGTTCTCTTTGCATTTCCTAGGGTGCCAACAAGGAGAATTTGCTCAACAATCATGAGGTTCTCAAATTGGTGACTGTGACCTTCACATTTGATTCAAGGAAGATATTGTAAGGAGAAATTAAAAGCCAGTCACCCTTAAGGGGACAGCTGAAAAAAATGTGCACATGCGCCAAGTTTTGGTGCAGAAAATGAATTTGGAGTAATTTGCATGGTTGTTTTCCTATTCTGTTGCTTCATGGCATTGTTTTCCTTGCTGCTTTTTTCTTTTTACAGAACAACCTCCAAAAACTTTGTACACTCTCTAAACATTTTTGATAATTAATTTTCTCCTTAAAAACTTTGGAAATATGAAAATGCCTTCAACAAAAACAAAATGCCTCAGTTTTAAATTTTGCTAAATTTTAAACCTCACACATTTGAGCCCGCATTGTTGACTACATACCCTTTGACATAGCATTTTGTTATTCAGCATCAAAGGGTTCATGGGTAACTTTCCTCTCACAGTACCTTTTTCCACCCAGGAGTACAGATGGGTACCAAAGAACAATTGAGGAACCCTAATGAGATACTGGGGGAGGAGGGGGTGGGAGGGATTTTGTAATAGACGATTACCTATCTAAGAGGAAGAGTGATACTCCCAGTTGCTTCATGCCACTGAAACTTCCGATCAACTTTGGTTGTGTGGGCTTCTTGATCAGATGTAACACACAAATGAAAAACTTATTACAAAAATTTCTACCTACCTGGCTGGAAGTATGGTCTTGTAATAATTTAAGAACCATTTTCAGTCCACCCATATCAACTATATCCTTACAGTATTCGTTCCTTACTGCCAGACGACTCAAGGTGACACACACCTCACTAGCCACGTCCACATCTTTGCAATGTTCCATGATACCCAACAATACTCCAAATGCATTTTCTGCCACAATCAACTTCGCATGCTCATGAGCTTTTCCAAAAGCTACACTCATATCATCATCGAATGTGAAAACACGCAGGGACAAGCATGTTTCCTTCACAATTCTTCCTGACTGGCTATAGTCTTTCAAAGTAGCCACTAAATAAGGTATGACACCATTGGCAACAAAAGTCTGACGATTCGATTCACTCTTGATGCAAGCAACTCTTATAGCTTTCACAATGTTTTCAACTAAAACCTCTTCTTTAAGTTCTTTTAAACAGCTTGCTAGAAATTCGATCATTTTAACATCAGCAAGATCTCCTTGGCCATACAAAAATGAGCTCAAGGCATCCAGACTGGCAGCAAGATTATCTTTGTTTTTCATTAAGTAACAATGGTTGCAACTGGAGAAAAGTAATTTGAAGGCACCTTTACTTGCTGCAAATTTTCTGTTATCCTCACTCTTGTCGCATTCAGTGGAGAAATCCTGCAATCCTTTTAAGAGTAATTGCAAATCATCCTCTTGTAAAGATATCTGTATCATGTCCAAGGCATCTACAGTTTGAAATCGACAAAAAAGCCATGAGTTTGAACAATAATGGCTGCATAATGTGCATTACATGTGGAATAGAACAATCTCAGTTTATGTATCAGTCAGTGCATCAATCAACCAATCAACCAGTTTTTGATCAATTTCTCAGTTGCTATGCGTTCATAATTGATTGACAGTCAGCTGATGGCTGGCTAATTAAATAGTGGTAGCTGATGTTTCAATCTCCACATCCATCTCAACCAAGATATGGACCATTATCAGTGGAATGTCTGTCAACTGTTGATCAAACTATCCTTGAACCTACAGGGTGGCAGCTTCATACAGGTTCTTCACAATAGGGTTACTATAGTATATAATAAAAGCCACCATTCTATGCCATGATTGACCACTTACTGTAGAAAAACTTGCTAAAAATACCATCAGCATTGATTTGGGAGATGAACATGAATTAAAATTTCCTTGAAATTTAACTTGAGTTGTTCCCCCTTAAGTGATCATTTGATACAGGTGAAGGGCAATACAAGCAGGCTGTTGGGACTCAGTAAAGGGTGACTTTGACCATTTAATAGAGGTGAAAATTACTTAAATTAGAGATAACAATTTCAGGACTTTGGCGACTGAACACTTAATACATGGTGAACGTTTAATACCGTGCCCCTTGGTACAGTTTGACTGAGTTAGTTCATAATAAGCTGACTTTTGACTGACAACTGATCACCTAGCAACCAATAAATGGATCAACTTTGTCAGATATCACCTACTTTATTACATGAATCAAGGTTACCAACATCACACACGATCCCAATGGCTGATGGGCAAGCAGAGTGAGTATATAGCTTTTGCATACTGCACTTACTGGTGTGCTTTAAAAAATCTTTCAAGTGAGCATTTTTTTAAAGTTTTTAAAACAGCTGAGATGATAACTTGGTTGTTGGTGTTATTGTTGTTGCTTTCTTTATTCCGATATAAGCCTCACATACCTTTCACAGGATTGCTGTGTTTAAGTTCACCTGTGTCTAAATCTTGAATATATGATGTGATCAAGTTTGACAAGTCAACGCCCTGAGTTTTAAACTGATCCTTCGCATCTTGTATGGCCTCGTGCAAATCCATTTCAAATTCTTCCATATTCTCTCTTACAACCGCATCAAATGTTTCTTGTGTAATTTGCTTTGGTTGTGCCATAGTAATATAGGAAATTTTTCACAACAAGACCGAAGATCTAACTTAAATGATCAAAGAACCAACCTTTCAAACGGTACAAACAAAATTACAATTTTCCGCCATTTTTTTCACCTCTTTCTGTCAACCGCTGACCAAAAACTCTGTTCGCATGATTTCATTTCACGTGACATTTCACGCAACTTCACGCAAACAACACGTTTTTTCTTGGCTGGTTCCAGGCTTCGTCGTGAATAATTTATTTCACAAATCGTCCTTGAAAGTGCAGTACTTGACACAGTCCATGTATTGAGAAAAAACGCTACTCTTTTTCGCTAGTACTCTCTTTGGTCCAGTTATTGTGAGACGGAATGAAGAGCTTCGTATTGTGTATTTTCGTTGTTATCTGTATCAGGAGCTGTGTGTCTACAAGCAACATTTCGACCACGACTGCTACGGCAACAAAGCGACCGACACCTTCGACAACTCCACTTTCTCCGACACGTTCGAAAAGCTCATCGCCAAGTACTACGGTCTTGACTACCACAAGTAACAATAGAACAAGCACATTTAGTCCACCAACTTCAAGTCCAACAACTGAAACGACCTGTTCACAGAAGAACACATCATGTGGTGACTGTGTCAAAGATGTCAGTTGCTTTTGGTGCGCCGCGGATGTCTCATGTAAGAAGTACAAGGCGAGCATCAAGATCATTCCTCACAACTGCAATGGAAATAAATGGTATTGGAAGCAGTGCTTTGTTGCAGGTAATGTTTCAATACTTAAACTTTATCATTCAATTTCTCCAAAAGGTAGATGTCATCGAAGGAATAGGGGTAGAATTAAGTCGTATCGGAAGTGACCCTTTTGAGTGTCTTATGATGTTAGTGAAATTTCATTTTCAGAAGCGTTTTCATAAGCATTTTCATAAGCGTATATTTTATGTTATTTAATCGTATATCAATACTTAGGTTTTTATTATTTTATTTAAATTATCTTGTTGTGTTATTACTTAGTGGTTTTATCACTGCTATTTTATAATTGACACATGAATAAAGTTCATCATAAAAGTTCATCGTCATTAATTTGAAACTGAAATATTAGTAATACTAACTGTAATAGCTCATGAAGTCTATCAATAGGTCCTAGTTTGGACTTCATTGATAAAGGGACAGTCAAACTCTTGATACCAGTACTTAAAGATGAATGGCCACTTCTTTATTGACTCTTTCCCATAAGCAGCCAACAGCAAATGCAGACACTTGACAGACAGTATTGCTGGGTGGTAATGTGTTGGACTTACAGCCCAGAGGTGGTCTTGGGCGTGAGTCCTAATCTGACAGCAGCTGAGTTAACTCCCCTACCACACTAGAACTTAGCTAACTGGTTTTCCTCCAGCAGATTGGAGTTTTTTAATCATTTTTCATTAATAAGGGTTATTAATTGCATTTCTTTTTCCATTAAGCATCTGCAAACTTGACACCATGACAACTCTGTATCTACAATTCCACTTTAAACATTCGTTTTTCTTGTTTTGCGTTGATTTGTTTTCTTTTCTACTTTTCTTAGTGATTTTAACGTCATTGTACATTATATTTTTCTACTTTAGGTTCTGTTCTAATTTATGTCATTCCAAGTGTGGTTTTTGTGGTCCTCGTGTTAACTGGCTGCTGTGTTTACTGTCTGTGCTGTCGAAAACGCAGACAACGAAATTACCAAAGAGAAGACAGAAAGATGCAGAAAAGACGGGAAGAGGCACAGAAACGAAATGCTGAGAGAAGAGCAGAAAGGAAAATCAGAACTGACGCAATTCGTCAAAAGTATGGACTGCTTACAAATGAAGATGACGGCGAACTTGCATAGGGGGAAGACAAAAACCAATGCTACTAAATCAGTTAAAAAAGTGGTACTTTCACCACCACAATTTTGTTACTTAAATTTTGTACTTGCACATATTTTCACCTTTGAAATCCTGGTCACTCTCACCCTTTGACCTCTAAGAGTGACTAGCATCTAATTTCTCCTTACATTATCACCCCTGAATCAACCATTAAGGTCAGGAGAATAAAGAAAATGATCACCATCAAAAGAAACCTCTTGATTGGTAAACACATTCTCCCTGTCAACACCTAAGAAAATGTACGGAGAATATACATTTTGTTGTTAGGGTGAAAATAGTGAGTCTTTTCCTGGTGGTTTGCAAGATTCATTCTCGATTCCTATTGATAAATTAACATTAATAACATAACCACAAGACATTGACAAAAGAATACCTTATTGGACCTGCCTGCCATAAGAAGACATTATCTCCTTTAGTTCTCCATGCACCTTACCAAATTTTGACCTCTGCACTTTTTAGAAGTTACTGCATTTAACATATATCAGGGTAATCAGTTACCTATAAGCTGAGCAATTTTTTTACAGAAATTTTGGAAGTGAAGCTGTCAAAAAGAATAGCATTGACAGCTTTGTCTTATCACTGAGCATTTAAACTATCCTAGTATGAAATAAATCGATAACATATTTACATCATTATAAAATATGCTTATTTTAATATTTATTTTGAACAAAATTTATTTCCTTGTACTTTTATATCAGCCTGCCTTCATTCGCCTCAATCACTACAAGATAGGAAGGGAGTTTTGTGGGAATTACTGTTGATTTTCAAGTTTGTAACATGAGGTGTACCAAGATAAAAATATTCGTAGTAAGAAGCAGAGCTTTTTGACAGATTTGTGCCTATATAACTTTACCTTTCAGAGATTTTAATAGTATTATACAAGGCCCATCTGTTCCTGGAGGGTCTGAGGCATGTACCCCTGGAAAATTTTGAATTTGTGGCTGTGCCTAGAGGGATATTCCTGCGTTTTCGGCCTCTATTTTTTTTTTCATTAAATTTGAAGAAAATCATTCCCGTGTGTACAAATTACATCTGAGTGAAAGCAACAAAGGGTACAGTCAGCTCTTTACAAACTGGTAGATCTACCTGCTTCTTGGGAATAAATTCCTTTCTTGAAAACTCTATCCTAAATTTTCATTTGAAGATTTAGTAATTTAATTGACAACACCCTCATTAATTGATGTAGAAATGATGCAAAGAGTGTATGGTTGCTTGCTGATCGTATTTATTGAACATTGCTGTTACACTAGACTTTGAAGTGGGATCAGATGATCTCTAGCATTTAATTTTCGAATAGTTTCTTCTTTGTACACATTACTTTTAACTAGATAGATTTTCAAGGATGTTTACAAGCACAGTGCCAGTTGTGGTGGTTGAACAAGTTTACCTCAGATGTCTTTATCAAACACTTATAAAAACTGTCAAACCTGAAATTAATGCAGATTAGAACCTTTTGGCAGCCTGCTGCATATTCAGATGTCCATTTTTCAAAAGTATAGTTATTGCATCTTAGGAGGTATATCACTTCCTCTGATGTGCCAAGTTCCAAAAATATCCTTCATTGTTCATAATATTTATTAACATAGAGAAATATAATTCTAATGATATTCTATCTTTCTTTAGTTTATAATTAAATATTGAAAGGATGTAAATGAGCAAGGTTACTACTCAGAAATTCCTCTACACTTAGCCTGAGAGGCAGGTGCAAGGCCACAATGAGCAGTCGAGAATGCACAAGGTTGGGGGGGGGTACCCTTTTCATCCTCCTTTTCTACCAGACAGGCTACTCTATTGCATAACCCCTAGCCTTCAAACATTACCCAGTCACTTTGCTGACATGTCAACTCCCTGACATCACTATTCAACTTGCCGACAATTGTATTTGGTCACTTTGCCTATATCCTTGACCGTATGTCAAATTCATTAACATCTCAATAACTGTTTGGCACAGAATACAATAGGGGTCATGCTTTGATGAAGTTGTTCGTAAGTTGAACAGTGGAGTCAGCAAATTGACTGAAGATGTCAGTGAGTTGACTAATGGTGCTGGTGAGGTGGTTGTCGTTTAGTGACTGGTAATCCTTCAAAAGAGCTCTCTTATGACCAAGCTATTCCCCACCCACACCTCATCAGAGAGCTTACAACCCTCAAATCATACAATCTTCAAAACAATATTTAGAACTCTGAATTTTTAATGGTTGGGAAAATTGGGATAAAAATTTTAAAGTATGGGATCATAAAGATACAAATTACTTTGGAAAGCAACGAGTTGCTTCCAAGGAATGTAATACACGAATGACAAGATGGCACCCAATCCCATAATCACTTGAAGATAAATCGCCACATTGTGTGAATCGATCATGACGATTAAACTAGATGGCCCCTTCTCCGTTTCAACGACTTGCGAAACTACGAAAGCCACGTACACTGTAACGAGTAGCACAGCAATAAAGATTCTCGTTCTGTTTACAGTGCCTGATCGTTTATGCAGCAACATAGCACTGGTAGCTGCATTGACTGCAATCATAGCCAGTTTAAACCCACCGTAGCTGGCCCCCGAAGCAGCGCCAATGTTGAAGACCATTTGGTAGCAAATCACACCCACAGATCCATTAAGATACTTAGGACTGTTGCAATCGATCGGATATTCTCCAAACCTTGAAAACGCTCTCCAGAACTCCACATTTTCCTTGATGTTGTATTCGAAGCATTCCATAGACATGGAAGCATCATCCGGTTTGCAACCGTAGCTTACATCGAGAAGCAAGGTTTCCCAGAACACACTCGAAGCAAGGGTGAACATCGTAAAGAACAGCCCAAAAAGGCTTGAAAAAAGTTTCCTCATCAACCGTTCTGAGCGAGTAAGTTCAATATCCTTCAAATACCATCTTGTCAGTCCACTGTCAGTCTTCTTTGTGATGACGGCGGAAAAGGCATTCGAGACAATCCAGTGAATCAAGGCAGATGCCTTCTCCTTGCCGCAAAAACTTGCTGCTACGAGAATAACTAAAGGAACACAGCTCGTGACAAGAGCCAAAAGAGTACCTATCAGACCGTAATAATAGCGCTTCATGGTAGATTTTCAAGCGAGTTCTAATAAGGGAAACCAAAGTCTCAACTTCTGAGCTTCGAGTCTGATACTCTGATTGGGCGGTGAATCTTATTTCTTTGGTCACGCAATTTAACTCAAATTAGATACGCGTTATATACGTAGCTTGTTTTTTTTTATGATGTTTTTGTTTTTGTGTTTTTCATAAATAATAATATTAAACAGTGCAGCAGAATTAAAATATTTGAGGAATCACTACAGCAGGTGCCAGAAAAAGAAGTGTTACGTGTGAATTTTCACGCACGAACTTCGTGAAACAATTTTACCGATTAACAGAAAAACACAAAGAGGGAAGGATGATCATGATAGAGAAAATGAACAAGGGAAACGCACGCCGCTAGGTTACATTACACCCGTTAAGAAAAGCTGCCTTTGTCTCAACACATTTCCTTATATTCGATTTTCCTATAACTATGTAATATGTAATATGTAATCAAGTCCACATTTTCTGACCCACAAACAGCCATAGCTAGTCCAAGGCGGGTTAGTAACTACGGTAAACTATCTCGGCTAAGCTGCCTAAACTAAATTTGATTTATATGCAGTGTTGGGAAGTACTTACAATTTAACAAATTTTACTATCAAGAAATAGGTCGAAAATGAAATTATTAAGTAAAAGCTCGGATATCACATAACTATTTACAATATTCTACTTTTGTCATAATTGTTTCAGTATCTAAGTTATTGTCTTCGTTTGTCAGACTTGTCAGATGATACCAAACGAAATATCATTGAGTTTTGTCCGAAACTATTTCCTTGGTGGGTCTCTTAAGAAGTCTGTTAACTCATTCCACAGCCTGACCCTCACGTTAGAATGAAAAGCATTTTTAAATCTTTCAGATCGGAACTTTTTAACGAAAAAATTTTTGGATGAAGAAGATCACGTGTTTTAAAACGAATGAACGGTGCGATACTTCAAGGGTGAACAGTTACGAGATGTTTGATGGATCAACACAAGTTATTAGCCACTTGATGCATGGAACGGGATGATACTTCAAAGTGTTGAAAGTTCAAAGGGAAACGTTAGCGTCAATAGGGTGAATAACGAGAGAAAAACAGCATGATAGTTTATTTCAGCAAACTATATTATGGTAAAGGGTGAAAGTTTCTAAAGAAACTGTGGTGCTGCATCGGTATGGGGGTAACAAGGTAATTTGGTTACCTAATTTGAAATTGTAAATTGGCCACCGTAAAGAGTTAAAAAGCTAACGTTTCGAGTGTCAGCCCTTCGTTTCGCTCTGACGAAGAGCTGACGCTCGAAACGTCAGCTTTTTAACTCTTAACGGGGACTTATATCATTGGTAAGTGCAAGGCTTTTTTTTTTGTAGAGTGAAAATCTAAGTTTCAAATCCCAAAAAGTAAATTTGACACACACAAAATAGACAATTAGACTCTTCCCTTGAGTTTTTCTTTTTATTATTTATTTTCTATACATTGTCTTTTTCAGTAAAAAAAAAAAAAATCTTCTACTATGATCGCAACTTTCCTTTTTCAGAGATAACTAATAGTACAAAACACCAGCGATTTTCGTAGGTTCATCTTGTCAGGGCGTACCGAGCGGTAACCCACTTTTTCTAGTATACTCCCAACCCAGTATATTTCGCTGGGCAGGAAAAGGTTTTCAGGGTCACGAATCTTTACCAGGGTACACAATTGTGCTATTGGGGCTATTGAGTTAGATGTCTTCAGCAACCAGTAGCCTTAATTAGTGGATCAAGCGTTGACCGTGTCGGATCGTAATTGAGGGGTCCTAGGATGGAGTGCTATTCTGACTACCAGTCCGGAGTTCAACTTCTAGACCACGCCCGTATGACTGGTTTGACTTCAGACAGATAGGGCTGTTAACCATGAGATACCATGCTGTTAACGAGGTGGTAAAGAGTGAACTGGAAAACACGGGGAGGGATAATTTTGTCTAACACTCCTGAAAAGAGTTACTTGTTTCCACCCTTTTGCGCTTACTGCAAGAACAGCAAATATTGGTTGGAAAATTCAATTACAGGACTCTCGAGTAAACATCTATTATGACTTTAATATCTAGTGTTATAAATAGCTAAAAACACATCCTAGATATCAAGTACGACAAAATATTTGGCAACTTCGAACGACACGATCAACAGAAAGGCTATAGAGGAAATTTCCCAATCACGATTGCCATGCCATTCTCTAGCGCACTTCGCGTTTAATAATTAAATTCTAAAAAATTACTCAAAACTTCTGGTAAAAGAGCGAAGTTTCGTTATTGTCTCAAAATCCCCCCCCACCCCCCCTTTAACAAAGGAATAAACTGCTTCACAAATATGGTTTTAAATAGACTTGATGATAGTGAGCTAAATTAAAGTGCCGAGCAATACATTCGGGAAATTTCCCATTATTAAGAAAGGAACCTGTGTATAGTATCAATTTGACCTGCCTTGAAGAAGTTCAGCACTATTAAATGACTTAAGGGCCAGAAACGATTTCGGTTCTTATGCCATAACCGCTGATGGTCCCCAAACTAACCCGATTTTGGTCCCCGAGCCACACCGATTTTGAACCCCAAGTCATAGGCAACCCCCCCCCGTCACACACACACACACACACACACACACATGCACACACACACACACACACAGAAGAAAGAAATGAATAAACAATAGTAATAATAATAATAATAATGACAATGATACAGACACCAGTAATGATTCAGAGATGTTAATGATAATATTAACAGCCAATTTGAACAAAAGAAATGTCCCATGGAGCGAATGAGACCTCGAACTAAAAAATAAGCACATGGCCTGCAGCGCAGGAAGAAACGTATGTTTCATATTATTCGATTAGTCGAAAAGGAGGTGCAAGCTCCCCCCGCGAATCACGGAGCGAAGCACAGCGAAACCAATCTAATTCCAGCATATATTAACAAAGTTGAAATGGTAAATTGGCCACCGTAACGATTACAAAAGCTGACGTTTCGAGCGTCAGCCCTTCGACGGAGCGAATAGAGGAATTGTGGGTTGTGGGTGCTTTTAAAGGCAGAAAATGGAGCTACGTTTTGGTGGGACATGGCAACGAGAAAAAAAAAGAAAAAATTAGTGGAATGAAAAGCGTTCGTTGATCCCTGGAATGAAAAGCGTTCCTGGCCAATTTACCATTTCAACTTTGTTGATAAATCCAAATTATTTCTTTAAACAATGCCCGTGAAAAATAAATGTCATTGCCGTCGTGATGAAAGACAATCCAACATTGCACTGGATTTGCTCCACTGTGTTCTCTGATTGGTCTAGAAACTCGGCCCAGCCTCTCGACTGATCAGATGGAAAACTAAAACCGTACCTTACTCGCCCGTTTCCCCGCGCTTCGAGCAAATTCATGTTCTATTAAGTTCTTAATATTTCGCTTTGTTGTGATTGACTTAACTTTAGTCTTGGTCTTTCAACCCTTAAAAGAGGTTTACAATAACTTCTATCTTAATTCCCATATGCCGATCCACTTTTTCCTTTCATAGTTTTGCTTGGTTCCAAAATCAAACATGCCTAATTTCTTTCAGTTACACAACCTAGCAGTCACTAAGGACTAGTAAGGAGGCGCAACGCAATATATATACACTCTGCATGAGCAAATTAACATATTATCATATTAGCTTCCACTGTCTGTTTACAGTTAACTTCTCTTTGCAGTTTGGAATTTAACCCTTTAACTCCCGCGATCTAATTGTTAATTCTCCCTTCTTGCTGCTTCACATTTCTTTTAAATCAGTTATGAGAATTTGGTGTTAGATCAGGATAACAACTTCTACCTGATAAATTTGATTATTCTCATTACCTGTTTGCTGGATAATGTATGGATACTATGGGGAGAACTTTCATGTTAATCAGATTACCTGTAGATGATCGGAAGGTACTGCTTTTGATTCCCACTGCGACGCGTTTAACACGTGATGCAAGGCACTGGATACATTCGTACAATGTTCATCCCAATTAGCTTGACTGGGAAAAGTATACGTGAAAAATTATGGATATGTAAGCAGAGTCAAGTACCAAGTTATATCGTAACTAATTCAAATCTTGTACGAAAGCGCATAGCTTCCACCTGTTTTATTTACAACGTGTTCAGAATTCAACTGCTCGTAGTATTCGTAACATCTCTTGATATGACCACATAACGCCTGTGTTGCGCTCTCTACATCGGTTACCTATTGAATATCGCATTAGTTTCAAAGTACTTATTATTAAGTTCAAGGCAATTCATAACGCTGCGCATGAGTATTTATGCAATTGATAAATGTTAAGGAGATTTGTAGATACTCTGAATCGAATGGTAGTATACATCTTAAATAACCCAGTGCCAGACTGAAGAGAACATTGAGGGACAGATCTTTTCGTGGTTTTCACTGTTACCAAATGAAATCAAAAGAGAAAAAAAATTACTTGTCAGACTTTCAGATGCTCAGAGGTACACGCATACATGAGTGCTAAAGTATCTAAAAAAAAGGATCTCTCTAAACCTGGGCAAATTGATATTGCTACAGTTACAATAACTATTTTACTATCCTCGACGCCATCTTTTTCCACTACGAGAAATCTGGAGACGCCTTCCTAGGCAAATCTTTTCTCGGGAATTTCCTGAAATACTCTAATGACATCCCCACCCACAGCTGTACTCAGAGTATGGTCTCGCTGGTAACTGCACGACGAAAACATTCTCATTACGATGATCAGAAGCCTAAGCGGCATATGTTTGAGAAGAATGGCGCAATTTTCAAACGAGCGTCAAAGGTAATCCACGACTGCAATTGTTTTACTTCGCTGCATGTTGCAATTAGTCTAAAAGTCGCACGATACACTCTACCATCAAGAGATTATAAACCATATTCTTTTGTTACCATGCAAATGCAAACTGAACCAATCTCAACTTCTTCACCTGTACTTTATGTAGCTTGCAGAGTTTTGGTGGATTTTTTATTGGTTCATTGTAATACTTACGTTTGTTTTGTTTTTCTGGCATTTGTTTTGATTTTCAAGACACTCAACTAAAAAGCGCTTTAGTGGTTACAGATTGTTTGACTGTACCTTGCAGGGAAGGCTGAATTGCTAAAGAACTGATTCAGCAACTCGTTGACGGCTGCGTGATTGGGTGTGTGTTGTGTATCAGGTATAAACGATCTCCACTTGTCAATGTCCGGTATGTGACGTAAAATCCACTGAACCACAAACGGAGTCGGTGATCGATTCTTAGCAACTTCAGATATAACCTGGCCAAGGAGAGTACGAATTTCTTCAATAATTATCATGAATATAATTACCCATGTGATTCGAAAGATTTTCAGCTCTATTTCTCGCTATGATCCCCCTGTGCAACCTTGGTGATTACAGCAAGAGCGTTCACCTTTTCGAATTGAACTGGCCGCAAATGGCTTCCTGTTAGATATTTAAAGCCTATTGAACACTTTCTTACAAACGAATTTTGACACGGCCACAACATATTATCTCCTCTCATTGAGTTTTTGCTTTGTCATGCATAGTTTACAGACTGATCACGTGTACGAACATTTTCTGCCTTCCCTGCCCT